ACAGCAACACACAATAAATCTACACTACACACTAAGCCCTGCCATCAATGTGTGGCTACTGAAGTACACCTCAATATTTTGAGACAAATGAATAAAGTGATCCAAAGAGTATTTTTTGTACTTCTATGTACACATATATATACAGTATATGACATTCAGCATAATGCTATAGAATTTTTAATATATGTTACAAGGCAAAAAGTTTAGTTACTATTTAAAAAAATGTATTGAGAGAGATTCCTAGAGACATTTAAATAATTTGATATTACAGTATGTTTATATTATACAACTGGAGGAATGCAAATCTTTACCAAAAATTGTTGGTGAAATTTAAAGAGGAAGTAAGGAAAGATCCATGTACCATAGTGGGGCCTGCCTTGTAATAATAATCAAGGTAATAAAGCATTGTTGTGTAGTGTGTGATAAATGTAGTGTGCATAGATGGGTGTTGATATAGCAGCCCATCCTAAGGTTTCCCAACGTCAAGAAACTGTCATACTAAGTGCCCCTTATCCTAGCCTACCACAGGACCCATTAACAGAAAACGGGACAGTATGTCAATTTCGCAAGCTGCTACCACTTTCTAATATGACAATTTTTGGTCTTGGGTTGAGTATACATCAAAATGTGATGTTTTATTAGGAGGATGGGTTGAATATAGATCTCTAGAAGTGTGGTAACAAAGAATCTACAGAAGGTAAGATGCCTTACAGTAAGAAAGGTAGATTAAATATTGTCAGATATTGGAACAGATTGCAAAAACACACTCAATTCATAAGAAAATGATGCAAAGTGCAGCTAAGAATTGAAAAAGGTACATCGGACCAGTTTTGTATGGATGTTACTGAGGTAATGGAGAGACTTTACACAGAGGTAGCAAGGAAGTACAAAAGAAGTATAGTTTATTAATACAAAATTAATTAAAATACAAAAACAAGTCTCTATTAGAGGGAAATACAGGTAGTGACAGAGCAAAAATATATGGATGAAATATTTTTTAACAAGTAAAATGGAATATGAAAAGGTGTTTTGAAAATATCGTGGATCCTTGCTCAAAGAAACGGCTCTAACAAATTCCTGGGTGGTCCAAACAGTTTGTGTTTAATGCAAATTGTACAGTGGAACATACAAATGTTCGGTTAAATGAGGATTGTCTGCCCAAGCTAAAACTGAGTCAGGATGTTCCTATATAAGGATGATCCATTATCCACCTGCTGGTGAAAGAACACCTGAAGGTAAGAGAATTAATAATTGACAGCTTATGAGAAGATGACAATGGTACTGCAGGTTGGGAATAGAGATAAACTGATAATCTTAAATGCTTACAGTCCACCAGCAAGCAACACAAGGACAAAGGAAGAGCTGGATGACAAATGAGAAGGCCTCATAGTGAACATGAGAGATTATAGTAAGAGGAGATAAAGATAAATCACAATTCTTGGTACTTGACTTCTTGGTGACTTCAAATCAATAAACTGGGAGATCTGAAACAAGAACGGAGGATTTTTGAACTGGTAGATTCATAAACCTCATCCTGGAAACATTCATGTATCAACACGTTAAGCAAGCTACGAGAATAAGGGAAGGGAATGTTCCTTCAATGCTGGATTTTATAGTCGCCAGGAAAGAAGATATTTGACATTCAGTATCTGCCCTCCTTGAGTAAAAGTGACTATGTTCTTTGGGAAATAAAATATGCAATCCATTATAATATAGAAGATAATGAGGAAAATGAAGTGGCTGAAAAAATTAATCTCAGGAGAAGTCATTATGGAGAACTTACCAAGTTCTTTAACAAATTTGATTGGAAAGACTTGTTAGGCAAGGAAGTAAATGAGATGTATGCCAAGTTTTGTGAAAAATATATGATGAAGACGACAACAATTTATACCAAAAGTAGAAAACTAGAACTAGATACAGAACTGGAAAACAGGTGTGGTTCAACAGAAATTGTAAGAGTGCAAGAGACCAAAAGACAAAAATTGGAATCAATTTAAGAAGAGGCCAAACTCTCTCATAACAGCAATACAAAGAAGCAAGTGAGAAGCAGTGAGACGAGGCAGAAATAAATTTTAAGGGATGGCAGACAAATGTAAAACAGAACTAGGCCCATTCCATAAATTCAGAGCAAATTGCAGGTAAAGGATAAAACTCTGAAGTTGAAGATGGGAAACAGACTCAAAGAATGAAAACGAAATGTGTGAACACTAAATGAATTTCACGTAATACGAATTTCGGAGAATAACATCGAATACATAGAGGTGTCTCAAGGCAAAGCATATAAATGCTCAAGGAGCTAAGCAGGAACAAATAATTGGCCCAGAGGGCATTTATTCCTTGGGTTCTGATGGAATGTGCATCATAGCTAAGTACTCCACTTGAATTAATTTTTCATTCATCTTTATGTACATGAAACAGACATGTACATGAATAATTATTATTATTATTATTAAAATATATATATATATATATATATATATATATATATATATATATATATATATATATATATATATATATATATATATATATATAATGTGTGTGTGTGTGTAAAATATATATTTTTTGTATGAAGCAGACCTAATCATAGTACATGAAGAGGCACTTTTTTTTAATTTCCCATTCTTGGGTCTGAAGTCACTAAATACGGGTGTGGATGTGGTGTCACTAAATATGGGTGTGGATGTGGTGTTATTAAATATGGGTGTGGATGTGGTGTTACTAAATATGAGTGTGGATGTGGTGTCACTAAATATGGGTGTGGTGTCACATCATTCATAAATGTCAGTACTAAAAAATGGAGAAATTGGAGAGGCATCTTACATGTCAATGGAAGGAACTTCAAAGCTGGAGGTTGTTCCCCATCTTTCCCATAAACACCAGTAAGTACACATTCATATTCAGTGTGTGTGTGTGTGTGACTTGTCTATCTCCTTGGCACACATGTTAGAGGATGGGTGTTCAAGGCACCTAGTGCTCAGGGTGAATGAAATATATTATACTATGTATACACACGTACATATATATATACACATACAGTACGGTATATATAGTAACAGGAATTGATAAAATTGATAGTGAAGATTTCCTGAGACTTGGAACTTCAAGAACAAGAGGTCATAGACTTTAACTAAACAAAGATGCCGAAGAAATGTTAAGAAAATTCACTTTCGCAAACAGTGGTAGACGGAACAAGTTGGGTGAGAAGGTGGTAGAGGCTAAAACCGTCGGTGATTTCAAAGCGTTATATGACAGTGCTGGGATGACAGGATACCACGAGCAGTTATTTTGATGACCTTCATTTGAAAAACACTCAAAAGCCACTTAATGTATCATTATCAGTATGAAGTTATTAACAGAAACGGTATTTATAGAGGTGTGTTTACATATCCACATTGCTGTTTCAGGTTATCTTCCTGTTACCTTGTGATGGTTCCAAGGATCAATGTCCTTGTGCCCCAGTCTCTGACCACGCCAAGAAAATTTATGCCAAAATAACCTGTGAATTTTGGTTACCAACCATCTCCCCTTTCTGCATTAAAATTGTTTGAATAGTTTTCTAGATTATAGAAACAGAAATCAAACTGAAGTGTGTTGCTCAGAGAGAAGTTAGATTACCAAATTAGAGTGAGGGTGGCCTTATGAGATTATCAACAAGGCCTTATTCCATGTTGAAATTAAGTGCCCAAAATTTGGACAGATTTTACAAACCTGTTAAAAAAAAAAAAAAAAAAAAAAAAAAAAAAAAAAAAAAAAAAAAAAAAAAAAAAAAAAAAAAATCGGCTGCAAATCTTGAAATGAGTGTAAATTAATACTGCGTGCAGACAGACAGTGGGCAACCAAAGAAATTATATTTGTGGTAGTGGGTATCTTCATTTTTACACCCATTGCGATGCTTTTCTTTGTTTGGCTTCAAAGACAAATGGCTTATTTAGTGAAACGGTAGTAAAGGAGAGCTTCAGTGCTTAAAGTATCACATAATTTCAAAATCTTAGATATGTAATGTAAACATTTTGATTCGATATTAATATTTGTATTTTCAGGATTAAATTAACTATTCAAAGTTTGTTGTCCTCAGTTTACAATTAATGCATGGCATATAAAAATGTATGCATAAAATGCATATTGATAATGTCAGTGAAAAAATTGTGCTTTTGGGCTTTTTTTGCTTTAAAGCTGCGTTTTGCTTTCAAAGTTTGATTGAATCTTGACATGGTTCGACTGCGTCAGGATTATGCTTGAATGCTGGTGTTGTCTTGCCCATCTTAGAAAGTCAGTACAGCAGTTTTTTAATACCGTGATCCCAGGTAAGTACTGAGGCACGTTTGGCCATAAATATCAACAGCGCAGGTATGTTACGTAGCTTTGGATCACTTGCCAATGGCATTACAGCATATACAAATTCTTCCTTTGGATTTGTAATAGATTGTTTATAATTAACACATTAACTTTATTAACCTAATGTGTTATGGATATTGAATAACTTTTTATTAGGAAAAAAATAAAGCTAACCCCTAATTTCCTGTGAAGTTTTGATGAAGGGCATTAAAACAGTACTGTGTATAATTTTCACTCTTCACATAATACATTATACATTAACCAGTAGAAACACAGCTGGAATTATTTTGCTTTAGTTAACCACTAGTAGTTTGCATTCTCTCTAATTGTAGTAATTACGTACAGTACTTGTGTGTGTGGGGATTTCCTTGGTACTAGTATTTGTTTCCTTCACTGTGTTTGTACAAATATTCCCTATATAATTGATGACTATATGGCTATGTTTTGTGCCTTCATTAGATATAAGTTTGTGAAGTTTACATCTTCATTAAAAATAAAGCTATGGTTCTTTGCTTACATGTATCTCATGATTTATAAAAGTTTTACAAATGATCTTGTAATGATTTCTCTAACTTTCAAAACTGTATCTTGAGCTTTTGCTTGCTTCTGTGATGTTTGAGGGCCCAGCTTAACATTGCGTGCTGGCTTGCTCTGTCCCACAGGCATGCGTAGTGGGACAGTGACCCCGAATTCTCCCTCTCGTCCTACCTCTGCCCTGAGTCAAGGGTCAAACAACAGCAGTCAAGTCTCTCTCAGGTCAAGAACCTCTCCTCGGAAACCTCGCCCACTCAGCATTGCTGGATCTTCACTGTCTTCTGCAGATAAACCCAGAGATGGAGCTACACTATCAAGGGAAAGCAGGCCCATGGAAAGGAAATGTATGTTACTATTAAAGTAATTGGCTAAAATGTGCATTGCCTTCTTCTCTGCTTGCTATGTCTTGACTATTCTACCTTTCCAAGATAAATTAAGTGCTCTAAATATAAGTTCTTAATTATCAATGCTAAATAAATCATGTTTTATATTACTGTATATTTGTTTATATTGCAGTGTCAGTTGGAGCAACTCCATCCACAACCAAACCCCTACGAGCCAAAAGTGCCGGGTCTGACAGGAGCACACCTGCCACTCCTGCTCGCACACCTGTAAAGACATCCACCCCAAAGAAAACTCCATCTCAAGTTAAAGCTGAAAGTGCTGCTAAGAAAGCAATAGAAAAAAGTAAAACAACTCCTAAGAGTAAACCAAGTCCCAAAACTCCATTACAATCCCCTGCTGTAGAAAACAAGTCTCTTCCTGGAGTCAAAGAAGACAAAAAGAAGGCCAAGGAAGACAAAAATTTAGAAATAAAATCTGATGAACTAAATGATATAACTGAAGATAGTAATATTAATGAAAGTGTTGGTGAAACACCGCCAAGAGAAAAAATGAATGGTGCTGATTTACAGTTAGAGGCAGTAGTTGCGGATGTACAAGTGCAACCAGAAAAAGATGCAGGTGCCAAAATTGAACATCCATCAGAGGATTTACAGGCACAAGATAAATCTCCAGTAGCGGCACCAGTATCTGAAACGAAGCAGTTAATTGAAGATTCTGTAAAATCAGTCGAGCCCTCTATTAAAGAAAAAGAGGTTCTAGAAGTATCGGCTGATACTCCAAGTATTCCTGTTGAATACAAAAATGTAGTGGATGAATCTCCAGATAAAGTTTTACCAGAAGAAAACCTTAGTTCATCAGTAATTGAAGAGAGTTTAGACAAGCCAGTTGAAGATAATAGTGGAGACCAAGATAAGACCTTGGCCCAGAAAGCTGCAGAGAAGCCTGTTACTGGTTATGCTACAGAAGAGGAATACAAAGCAGCCCTAGCAGAGAAGCGAAGACTTGCCAGGGAAGCTAAAGAACGAGAGCTAGAATTAGAGCGCCAGAGACAAGTGAGTAAGAGTTATTTTTGTGTTCCTTGGAAAAATGTGAGCATTAAATAGTTTCATGCAGTGTTATGCCAACAGAATTTGTATGGTACAAGGCAAGGTAATTGAGGAGAATGCTCTAAGCCAATATGATTATATAACACCTGGAAGAAATATGAGGACATTGATTTGGCGTAGGACAGATGGAATGAATGATGGCAACCAGTTGCACCGTTAGGGATCAAACGCCAAGATGTGAGAATGGAGGCTGTTGCTGTAGCAACCAGTCTTAGTGGACCTGTTGTATGGTATAAATAATAGCTAGCTTATATGGGTCAATAGGCTGTCTGCAGTTTACTCTAGGCTTATGTTCTTGTTTTAACTCTTACAGCTTGATCTGGGGATTTTCCCATAGTAACAATGCACTAACCTTATTAGCTTTCAATTCATGTTTCTTTGGTATACTCTGAGATTTATACAAGCGAGTGTTAAATCAGTCCAAAAAAATTATATGTAAATACCATGCATTCTTTCAACTATAGTTGGATACTGGTTGTCTTCATAAATTTGTTCCAGGCTTTAGAGTCTTCTCCATGATTACACTTTGTCCTGCATGAGGTGTTGGCATTGGCATATAGAGCAAGGTTACGATTCTTTCTTTACTTATTTTCACCTACTAATACTTTCATGTAGCTTACTATGCCAGATTTTAGTTGGTGCATCTCTCCAAGAGAACCCATTCTCACGAGTATTGTATACTTAAAAAGAATCTAAATTCTTACCGATTTAGTTTATTCCTGACGAGCTCAATGCTAGCCAAATGTATCGGCACTTGAAGACATGCCAGAAACTATTATACTCTTAATAATGATATGCACTTACATCTTGCAGCTTATCTTGCACCCAACTTACTAGTAAGTTTAGCCACTGCGGCCTTACGCTCCTCAAAGTGTACACTTCGTCATGGACAGCCATGCATAAACCATTTATACATGGTATCCAATTGTGGATATTTATTACTTTTAGCTGCCTTTTTAGGCATGCTCTAGACCTCGTGCATGGATTGTGCCATGCTCCTTCCTACAAGGAATGGAACGTGTATCACAAGCTTTTTGGTGTCTATTTTCTATTCTCACTTAACATACTGTTTAGATATTGTACTTTTTTTTCATTATACTTTTATTTATTTATACAAGAGTTCATACATTCTTGTACATCTGTTGCTGTATATTACAGTTGTCATGATATTCCAAAATAAGTCATCACCCAATGCCGTGTCCTGGAGCATACCTGGAGAGGGTATGCTCCAGGTCACGTTGTTTGGTGATGACTTATTTTGGAATACCATGCTTGAGCAAACACCATCTAAGTCACCTCATGCTCAGGGGCAAGCACTCGCTTATCACCATGTGTGTGATGCACCCAGTACCCATTATCACCATCCTTTTCTGCCTATCCACACGGATACCGATTCTCAATTCACCACTATTAACGAATTTGCTTCTTCCTGCTGATCATAATGGTGTATTACCCCCTAACCATTACTTGATGGATAATTACATTCTCTATTCAGCTTGAGGAGGAAGAGCGTGAAAGGAAGGAAGAAGAGGAGTTCCTTAAGATGATTGCAGAGCAGAAAAAAGCAGAGGAAGAGCGTCTCAGAAAAGCTATAGAAGAAGCTGATCGTAACCGTATAGAAGAAGCAAAGAGGAAAGAAGAGGAAGAAAAGCAAAGAGAAGAGGTAATGAACTTTATTGTATTAACTATTGCTTTGACTCCAGGGTAAATTCCATTGGAATGGCTACTTTGAGGTGATTCTGTGGATCTATATCCCTGGATAATGGTCTGGTCAACAAAACTGTTGAACTTTATTGCTTGTAGCAATAAAGTCGGATCAACCTGACAATCGGGTGTCCTGGTTAGTGATTGGTCTCTAGGGACATTGGCCATTGAGGTTTTAGCTTCAGGAAATTTCAGACTTGATGCAGTGTGCTCAGTAGCACAATAACTGTACTATACTGTAATTTAACTCTATTTTGAAGTGCAGTTATTGTCCTATGTTGATTTTAGTTTTTTGCCCTGTTTATACAAATGATGTAAAATATAGTTATAATACATCTGTATGGATGTAGTGAAACCTAGACCCATGAAACAATTTTGCACGTCATGCGATAAAGTTCAGATCACAATTTGGCGTTTCCAGCCAGTGTCAATTTTCAGGCTACATTACTAAACAAAATGACAGCAAAGGAGTGAGTTGCAAGACACTTCTTTTAGGCTGTGCCAGGAATAGATTTCTGTGCAATTTAGGTATACATATTACATTGCAGGCCTATATACAATACTCAGTGTTCTTGTTAATGTGTAAATAGTTATTCCACACAGTAGTCTAAAGAAAAAAAGCAAACATTTACACCATATAACGAACATTACAGCTCTCCTTGGAGAGAATCACCATGGCATTAGCCCACAGACCAAATGACCCCCCCCCCCCCCCTCCACCTTGCCCACAATTCTCCGATGTGCATGAAACACACAGACGTGTATCCGCTTTATTTTTAATTTCCTTACTTTTTACATGCAATTGTATCAATTTATACAATTATTTATAGCTGCAACTTTGATCATGGCTGATCTTTAGGCATTAAATAAATGGACACATTGATTAGTACTGTACACTATTTTGTTAACGTTTGTCACCATAAATATCACTTGTTAGGCTACTAATTCATTTACTGGGAAGGTATTGAGAATATTTTATGTTTGATTTTAACCATATGAATATTCTAGGCTGAACGTCTAGAAAATCAAAAACGTTTAGAAACAGAGGAACGTCTGAGACGAGAAGAAGAAGAACGACAAGCTCGTAAAAGTCGTGTGGCAGCCATAATGGCTAGGACACGAGGCAAAGGAGGATCAAACACTCCAACAAAGGTTGGTATTGCTCATCTTACTGAATTAGTTGTGTGTAATTACCCAAGTGTAGTTACAGGATGAGAGCTTCGCTTGTGGAGTCTCGTCTTCCCAGCACTGTCATATAACGCTTTGAAACTACTGTTCTGACAGTTTTGGCCTCCACCGCCACCTCACTTAACTTGTTTCAACTGTCTGCCACTTTGTTTGGGAAGGTGAATTTTCTAATAACGTTTTGACAACTTTGTTTAGCTAGCTAAAATCTCTATAACCTCCTGTTTTTGGAAGTTCCAGTTCTCTAGAATTCTTATAAATTTTGTAGATTCCTGCTGCTATTTTGCACATAGTGATCATATCGCCATCTAACCACTTGTCCTCCAGTTCTGGAAACCATTTACTTGCATGTCTCTGCACCTTTTCCAGTTTGTTGTGTTTAAGATATAGGCCCCATATAACCACTTAATATTCCAACTTTGGTCTCCCGAAGGTCATGAACAATGTCTTTATTATTTAATCATCCATGTATTTAAAAACAATTCTGAAGTTGGAAAGAGTAGCATAGGCTTCTCACATGATGTTCTTTATGTAGTCCTCGGGTGAGTTTTCTATCTAGAAGCACTCCCTAGATCTCTATCAGAATTTTGTTTAAAGCTTTTTCACATAATTTGTAGGTTGTATGTGGCCTATATTCTCCTATTCCACATTCCATAATGTTGCATTTATTCACATTAAATAACATTTACCAAGTGGTGCTCCATATACTTATTTTGTCCAGGTGTTCTTGTAGGGCTTGACAATTGTCCAAGTTTATCTTCCCTAGTAGCTTAGCATCGTCAGCAAACATGTTCATATATTTCTGTAATAATATAATTGTCTGACCATGAAGTAAAGTGAGACAGAAAATTCCATAAGTACTTTTGTATTATCAATAATTCATCTGAAAGATCCTTCTGAAGATGTATTGATTAATACAAGATGAAAGAGAGTGAGTGAGTGAGAGTTCAACCTCAATTCAACAAACTTTATGGGATCAAACCCAATTCATTGCAGTCAGGGATTCGTTGCGACTGGAGATGCCTCTAGGATGTACTTTCTGTGCATCCTAGAGGCTGATAGGCATCCAATAGACTAATTTCATTTAGCAAAATTTTCATTTCACCCTATAATAAGACAACTAGAAGTGTACAAAAAAAATTTAACTAGCTATTTCTAATGTCCCCAGCCTCAAAACTCATTTTCAAAAGGTAGCAAGGCCATTCCCGAGTGAACAAAAACCTTGGAAACTTTAAATCAAAACAAACCATTGAATTTGCTCTTAAATGTTCTCAATAGCTTTCCCAAGGCTCCAACTGTTTCTTAACTTTTGTAGATGGATTCAATATTTTATCAAAAATGGAATTGGAGCCATATTAAGTCATACAATTCATATTATGTCAAATGCAGCAAATTCATGCCAATATTTATTCATATTCCCCATCAAATGCAGCAAATGTCATGGAAATATTGTTGAGTAGGTAGTACTGTTATACTTGGTCTTGTAGCTGTGTATGAAGGCTGCTTTTAACAGCCTTGTCTCAAGTCTATGTAATGTAAGAGGATGTGTATGTTCCTGTATATGACTGTATGTAAATATTTGTAGTTACATTAATAAAAGATTCAGTGAGTGCCCATGGTCATGTAATTACTTGAGTGTAGTTACAAGACGAGAGCTACACACTGAGAATAGGTCAACACAATGTGCTTAATTAATAAATGTCTTGGATAAGAATGTATAAGAGAGAGGATAAACAAAGATAAAAGAAGTTTAATACTTTATTCACAGAATAAAGGCAGCATCGAGGTGCTGCACTCAGTTTGATATTCTTGCTATATTCTTACTCTAACCATGTGTTTTTAATTTAATATATATTTTTTTTATTCATACAGGCTGAGGCGAAAACACCCTCGGATGAAGCAAAGCATTTTGGTGATGGAGAAATGACCACCAGTATGACCGACTCCATGATCTCTCTCGTCACTGCTTCCGAGATGCAGTCTGAGCCAAAAATTGACTCTCAGCCGGTCATTTCTACTCCTGACACTCCAGCTCAGCTAATTAGTGATGTAGCTTCACATCATTCTAGTGATGTGTTACCTAAACCCTCAGGTGACTCGTATGCTCCGCCAACTAGTGACGTATCTATAAAGACAGTTCATGACGTGGACATGGCTTCACAGAGTCACACTACTGAAATAGTTGTTGATTCTAAATCTTCTGTTGAACAGAAAGTGATGCATTCTAATATTGAAGTGACCTCTACCACAGAAAACTATCAAGTGGACGATCTTATTAGTGGCATGTCATCAGTTAAGGTGGAAGAGCCACACGTAAATGGGGATTCCCCAGTGCCCATGGACACTACCCCTACTCAATCAGTTGACTTGTTGGGATCCCTTAGTGATGTACATAGTGTAAATCATAATGGAGTAGATAATACACCGCCACACACCACTCAAGGGTGAGTTGAGAGGCACTATGCTTCTCTTGTTGTATTGTGTTTAGTAAATTTCAAGTATTTAATATGCTTATTTAGATGAAGAGTTTTACATTCTAGGAATATTTGTCTTCCAATATACTTTATTTTTCCCCTCCCAGGCAACTTTGCTCATTTCTTGCCTTTCGCAAATGACTTGACTGAAAGAGAGGGAGGGAAGGAGGGAGTGAGTGAGTTGACAGGGGGAGAGAGGGATGAAAGGACAACTTGCTCATCCTTCCTCTTCTTTCCATTCCTCCCCTTCTCCCTCCCCCACCTCATTTCCTTCCTTACCTCCCTGTGCCCCTACTTCCTCTCCTCCCATCCTCTAGTTGATGCTGCAGTATGTAACATGGAAGATATGGCAAATAATGTAGATGGTGTCATTTTTTGTATTGAATGTTCTATTTTGCTCTGCTGTAACCCTTGGGGTTGTGCCTTGCCATCCCTGTGAAAATGGGGAAATAATGGTGGTGCTAACATTTTAAGAGATGAGGTTTACCTGGGAACTTCATAATGAGATATGTTGGGTATACAGTAGATGGAAAATGGATGAAGAGAGGGTGTAAATACAGGAGTGAGGGAAGAGGACTAAAAAGCAGTTCATAATGACATAAACATGTGATGTATGTGGCCATTTAGAATGAGTAAATAGTAATTATTGTACAGGAAGAGCAACACATGGTGACTGCTTAAGTCTTTCTAGTAGGCTTTGGAATATAGTGCTTTAATAATGATATATGTACAGTTAGATGCTTTATAGTTTATTCTCCAAATTAATATTATGTATTGTGCTTTAATTTGTTCTTTTATACATAAAGTTGATCTTGCAATTCATTTGAATAATTTTATTATCTTTTAAAGCTTTTAAAATTTCATAATTTATGTAAACTGATGTTTGTTACAAAAAGCCTAGACTCTTGTAGACACTAAATCCAGGAGGAAGTTTTGATACAGAATGCCTTTCAAATAGAAGCATAATACCAATATTAAGTCATTAATAAGAAGGTGGAAACAGTGCATGAAGAAAATCCTAGTACGAGTAAATTACAAGAATTAACTAGAGAATAATACTGTAGTGTACAAGAAAATTGACACATTAGCATTGTTTCATCCCAAATGTGCAGTATACCCATTTTGCACTTGTATTCAGGCATTTTCCTTGTGCATTAATATTATAATATCCTTGGGTGCCCTTCAACCTGTCTTGGTCTCTAGTTTCCAATGGAAGGGGTCGATTTTTAAGTTTGGTCAGGGAATCTTCATTGTTCTTCTTCAATGTTCGAGCTTGGTTCATTGGGTGCTACTTTCAGAGTGCATTCCATGGCTCATCAAGGTCTTAGGATGCTAATTTCAGGTTTCCAACATCACACATTATGCCACTTTTGGTCTGTTGGTTCTTTCAAGTTCTTCCTGAGGGGTTTGGGTCCTCGCTTCCTTATTTGACACAGCTCTTTTTAAGCAAGGGCTGGCTTCAGCCTTTAGGTTGCGGTTATGAGGCCCCTGCTTCTTCATGGTTTGCAAACAATTCTTTTCTTGGGATTATAACCTGGCTTTTTCCATGCCTGTATGCTCAAGTGGTTTGGGGTGGGCTCTGTCTTTCAGGTTTTCTTGATCTGTGCCTTGTTTGCACCATTGGAGCATTCCACATTTGTTGGAATGAGCCCGAAAAACTTATTACTGGAACAGTGATAAATTGTAGTACGAGGTTTATTAACACTTTCGCCCGGGCATGACGCAGCATTGCGTCATCCGTTTACTGGCGGTAATTCCGGGAATGATGCAGCATTGCGTCATCCACTTTAAATAATCGCCAAAAATCAGGTTTTTATCCGATTTTTTGGGGACTGGTTTTAAAATGCGTGCCGATGTCTTCCCATTTTCTTTGTTGGGCCTCGTGGCCCTCAGGCAGCTTGGCACATGCCGTGGGCCCATTGTTTTCGCTCCACTGTTGTGACCAATGTCGCCTCCCCTCGCATCTCAAACGTCTGAACATTTCGGCTATTTTCCGTGGCTATATTTCTTACTGCGGCTTTAGAAACTATCTACGCTTACTCCACGATGGATAGTGATCATGAACAAGGTCCTTCCAGGAAGAAAATTGCGAAAGAAAGGCTTGAAAAGGGCGGGAATTGGGAGTGTAGCTGGAAGGCGGCTGAGCACTCACTTGCGGCTAACGCGTGGCCCGTCTTCAACTCGTCGGCGGTTGGAGCGTGACCAGGTTTTTTATTTTATATGCTAATGTTCCTCTAGAGAATTCTATTGCGAACCCATTGAGACCAAAATGAAAGACTTAGGATAAAAATTGAGGTGACCAGAGTGAAAATAGTGAAAACATTTTATCGCGTTTGCGCGCTCCTGGGTAACTCGTTCGCACTTTCTCTGTTTGCTGCGGGTAATTAGCCGGGCTTTTGGAGTTTATATGCATTTAGTGCTGTAGAGAATTCTATTGCAAACACAAAGATACCAAATTTAATCTCGTAGGACGAGAATTAAGGTGACAAAGTTGAAGAGAGTATACACTTTTCAGAATTTTCGCGCACTCCCGTGACACCCTGGGTCCCATATCGCACAGTTGAGGGGTGGCGAGCGGGGTGCACCAAAGTGTTAATGTGCTTATCATAGTCATTACTTCTGTTCTGGTGGTCCTGTCCCATTTTGTCTTGGCTATTTGTGAATTGGTGTCTTATACCGAATACTGTTCTCATTTCGCAAGTTGCTTTCATATCCTGAATTCTCAATCTCTCTTTTGGCCTGTAATTTTTTTTATTTTCTTTAGGCTGTTTTAGTTGGCCTTTGCTTCCAGTTGTTAGGATTGGGTGCTTCATGCTCTCTTCTGGTAGCATAGGTGGCATCTTTGTTCCACTGTGTGTGTGCATAACCTGTTCTCCAATTGCACTAGTGAAGTGAAAAGCTTTGTACCCCCAGGGCACTATCCTTGCACCAATGATTTTTCTAATTTGCATATTATAGACAAAAATACTAGTCACAGCTTTGTGTCATTCTTTGCTGATTATACAAAAATCAGCATGAAAATTACCTGCATAGAAGACACTGAGAAAACTATATGCTGATATTAAGACTCTTTTAAGCAATGGAAATAGCATAATATTCAACAGTGATAAGTTCCAGGTACTGTACTTGGGTATGATTGAAACAAGGAACGTAAACAAAATACAGTGTACAAAACACAATCAGACCAACATATAGAAGGAAAACTACATGTAAAAGATCTGGGAATTATGATATCTGATGACCTGACATTTAGTGAACATAACCAAGCAAAAATAGCATCTGCCAGTAAAATGATAGGGTGGATTATGAGAATCCTACTCGCTTTCCCTTTCAGCAGGAGAGGTTTCTGAAATGGAGGGAACGCACAAAATATATAAAGTATGGCGCGCACACGATAAAGCGCCTAAACTATTGGGACTGTCTCAAAGATCTCAAAATTTATTCTCTGGAAAGGAGATGCAAGAGAAATCAAATAATATATACATGGAAGATACTGGAAGGAGAGGCTCCAAATTTGCACAGTAGAGTAACAGATTACTGGAGCAAAGGATACGAATAGAAATGCAGAATAGAACCAGTGAGGAGTATAGTTGCCATAGGCCCAATCCGAGAGCACTGTCTTAACATCAGAGGTCCAAGGGTGTTCAATACTCCCAGCAAACTAGGAATATTACTAGAACAAAGGTGGACTTCTTCAAAAAGCAATTAGATAGGTTCTTGCGAGAAGGTTTATCAATCAGGTTGCAGTGGATATGTGGGCCTGCGAGCCACTCAAAGCAACAACCTGTTGGACAGTTATCACATTGAGCCTGATAACTGATAGAGCCTGCACTGGCTCTAGTACTTGAGTCCAGTGCAGGCTGGACTCGAGTAGTAGTAGAACTCCCAAAACCCTCTTAAGGTTGCTCCAGGCAAGCTGTCCATACCTGTGCACTACCTAGGCTGCTTCGGGTTATGCATTCTCACCCGAAGCCGTGATAATATGTTGGGTGATTTTTTTTTTTCTCCCCTTCAAAATGTCATCGGGTTTCTAATGATTATACATTTTCAAAATATATTTTTTAACAGGACGGACAACCTTCTGGGTTCCTTAGACCCTCTTGACTCATCTCTAATGTCTACCACAACCATCACACCAGCAGCATCAAACTTTGAGCAGATCATAGACTTGGGCCAAACGAAGCTCAGTAATGAAGATGCAGTGAATAGTAATCCACCTTCACCATTTATAGCATTTGAGCAGAATCTGAATAAGAAGCAGAATCAAGAGAATACTAGCACAGTCCCAGGTATGAACAAAATGACTTTGATGAAATAAATATTGAACAGTAAACAAAACTGTGTACTGTACATCTTTTGAAGATAAGGTATAATAAACATTTTATGCATGGCATGTGCAAATTTGTGGAAGATTATTAATTCATAATCATTTCCTATTCATTGGTTAATTTTTAATCTATATGTAAATACTAATTTCACATTTGTTTTATTAGTGTAGCAAAACTTAATTTTCATATTTGTCTTTTCAGATCTGCTGCTGTAAATTTCTGGTTTTGTTAATATGCTCTAGAATGTGCGAGTGTTGATTGTGATTTTAAGAAACTTGTGATATTAGCACTGGACCTTAAACACAACCTCACATGGTGGAGGAGCAGGAAAACCTCACCCCATCACTTGTCACGTATTTGCGGGTAGGATTAATCCCTACTACCTCTGCTCCTGTTGTGGCTTACGTGCAAGATATTGAGGATCTGTATTGTTATATATAAGAATTTGGCCTGTCCCCAGTCAAAAAAGGAAACTAGTTGCCTTAATTGGTTTTTAGTATCCAAAATTTATCTGCAAAATTATATATTTGAGCGTGCAGATACGTGCACGAATGCTGACCAGTTACTGGTTATAATCCTCAAGGTGTAATGTATCACTATAGTCTTCTCAGAGATCTGTCTTTCCAAAGGTTAGTATCCTGTAGTTTGAGCCAAAAACTGCTTGCAGATGTAGACAGACAAGGAAATTGTTATCATGACTGTGTTATAGCAGTGTGTTCTGCGCTCCAAAATAGATATATTAATTCTATGACAGTAGATTTACTGCAGAATGTGCTAGTTACTATTGTGCTAAAATATATGCTAAATGATTGACTATTCATTATATATATATATTATATATATACTATGTAATTACACAAATACAATCCATGTGGATCAAATTACGAAGACCAGCATTTTATATACATTGGAACTGTTACATACTGAATGGGTGCTAGTTGGTGTAGCAAGCTTGCCATGACTAATAATAATGGATTGCCTTCAGTCTTCTCATTGTAGACTATGCATTAATACTGCAGTGCATTGTTTCTGTGGCAGAATCAGTCATTAAGAACATTGACTTGTTCACAAAGGCTACCATCACATTTTGGGTCTCCTTGGGGAAAACAGTTCACTTATTATGGTCATTAACCAGTCCACATGAAAATCTCATGTGCATAGTTCATTCTATAATTTTGGAAGCATTTTCTGTATTTCGTTTAGGTAAAAACCTCCTGGGCTTGGTGATAACTGAGAAGTGATGCTGGTTGACTACTCATTGAAGAACTATGGCTGCTACTCACAAGTTATAGTAAAAATGTATTTTAGACTTGTTAATAACCACTAATAGTACTATATTCACCAGCTCTACTCCATTCTATTTCTTTGTGACATTGTGTTTTTCAATTATTTACTTTTATAGAAAATATGTATAAAGTCATGTATTTTTAGGTATTAGGAATTGCTTTAATAAGTCATGTTTTCCCAACTGAGTAATTTTATTTATGTAGTTTAAGGTTTTTATATTTGAGTTGCATTTACCCATGGTGCACCCAACTTCTAAAAACAATAAACAATTCTACATGAAAGTTGGCTTCCTTGCCTCTGTTATATATCATTTATATTTTATTATATGCTCAAAGACCTTAACATTTGACCATTTGCTTGTAAATCTGAGTTTCATGTCTAATTATTGAACATGAAAAGATACAAGTTAATTGTTGATAATTCGGAGGTGATGTCAGGATTATTAATACCTATCTGCCACCTCTCACCTTGTATCTTAAGCCATTATAAACCTAATCCTGTACACTAAAATTCTTGTATTTGTAAAAGTGCTATATGTGGTATAAACATTTATCAATCAATGAATATGTTCTTTCATTAATTCCTTAAATGTAAGCCCGATGACCCCAATTAGTCAATTACTCATGCTCGCTATCTCCACAAATCTTAGATGACCTTCATTTTTTAAGACATTTCTGCCACCTGGAAAAATCCATTTACTAATGGGGTTGTGATGCATCCTTCCATGAATTACTTTTGTTTAACCCTGTAAGACAGTTGCTCTAAACCCCCCTAACACCTGTGTCATGTAATAATAATAGTATAAAGTGTTAGGAATACATCGGGGTTATCTAGAGTATTTGGAGTATGCAAAATTTGACGTAAACAGATGATATATTGTTTGAAGGAGAGATTTGGGCTTTCTAGATAAAAATGTTATTGGAGAGAGAGAATGGTTAAGTAAATGTAAATAAAAGTGAAAGTTATGGTGGTGGAAAGAAGAAACTGCATGATAGGGAAAAGGAACCATCAGGGGTGCCAAACCATTACGACTATATAGCACTTTGAAGGAATCATGATAAGGATGTGGGATGGAATGGGGGTAAGGAATGGTGCCCAACCACTTGGATAGATGAATGCCGACCTGCATAAAGCGAGACCATCGCTCTACCGTCCAGCCCAAGTGGTCGTGGGCGATCGGCTTAAATAGTTAGGAGGCGATTGATAAAATAGGAATTTAGGCAGAGTTAAGAGTAGAAAAGCAGGGAGACTGGTGCAATGAAAGCATTGGTTAGAGGGCGAAAAAAAATGTTATTTTTAATGAAATGCCCTTTTCTGATAGGATCCCTTAGTAGGCCTTCTTAGTAACTGGTAGGGATGAAGGAGCTTGTTAGGTCAGTGTTTATAATCCCAGTTCACATTCCTGCCCTTGCAATACCAGGTTTCCTTAATTTCTCCTCTATTTTGAATTCTCATCTAGTGTTATCACCGTATCTTTTTAGTCTTAATTATTAAAACAATTTATGAAACAAAATTGCTTAATTATTAAATGAGAATAAATCCTTATTTCAATAGATCATGAACTTCAATTTAATTAATGCTCAAATATGTTGGTGGGAAGGCCAAAAGTACCAAGAGAGAGAGAGAGAGCGTGCAAGCTCGAGGAAAGGCAAGATGTGTTAAATATGCCAAATTTAGAAGACAGAAAAATAAGGCAATATGATAATTGTGTACAAAACAGTAACAAAAATCGACAAAACTGACAAAGGAATTCTTGAAACCTGCAACTTCAACAAGAGGCAGTAGATTCAGGCTAAGACAACAAAGATAGTACAAAATATTAAAGTTCTTGTTTTTGCATACAAAGAAGTAGATAGATCAAATGAGAAGGCTCTGGATAAAACCTTCAGTAGAGTACTGTAGTTTCAAAGCATGAATTAGCATAGTTCAGACTTGCAATTTTGGCCATTAAGCATAATTCATCATATAGTCTTGGCCCCTGTCATGCTCATAGCAACCAGCACCATCGGTTTGTATGCGCTGCGTTTCATACACCAGCAGTAGATAAACAACAAAGAACTTACATACAGGACGCCCACCAAGCTTGGAAGCTGCTAGTCATGTATCTTTATTAGTATTAAAGTCAGTAACCAAGCAATGGCTTTATATCAACCCTACAACCAAGACTTCCTCAGCAACACACAACACAACAGCCCTCCTATAGTGCCAAATATCTCGTGTAACTTGTGATACTGTATTCTGCGTGTACAAATTGATCCTGCACCTAGACTTGTAATGTAGGCTACTGTCTAAAGACTGTTCTCGTACATTTCTATAATATAGTTGTAACGTACGATTATGTTACGTTGTTGGGTAGATTAGATCCACATTGTTTAGTGAGTTTTCATGTTTATTTAGTAGTCTATCTATCTTGAGATGAGATGAGTGATTACAATAGTCGGTTGGTAGCATTGTCGTACACGTTGAGACGGAGCTTGGAGCAAAGCAGAGAGCTGAGTGAGGCCGGAGTCGTCGAGCTCTATGTGGGAGAGCGTGGCGGCTCAATTGGGAATTGTGAGCGTCTGAAGTCGGGGAGCAAGAGCGTGTCGGCTCGATGTGGTCGTAGTCTGCTGTCTGCTCTGTGTCGAAGCAGAGCAGACAGCTCTGCAGCTCTGCGTCGTTCTAATCGACGTCTTGGGTCGATTAGAACTGTACACGCCGAGTGATACAATCTTAACTGGAGTCCTCCATTCCGATTGATTGATTGATGAAGATTAAGCCATCCAAAAGGTGGCACGGGCATGAATAGCCCGTAAGTGGTGGCCCTTTTGAGCCATTACCAGTATCGAGAGCTGATGCTGGAGATCTGTGGAGGCGCGAATGCACCCTGTATGACGGGAGATGTCTTCCGTGTGAATGTGTTAAGATGATGACGAAGCCACCCAAAAGGTGGCACGGGCATGAATAGCTCGTAAGTGGTGGCCCTTTTGAGCCATCACCAGTATCAAGAGCTGATACTGGAGATCTGTGGAGGTGCGACTGTACCCTGCGTGACGGGAGATGTCTCCCGTGCCTCCATTCCTCATATCGCTTGCTTATATGGTGATTACACCTCAGTTCCCTCCAATAAGCTGAGAAGAGTATTACTTGTAATTGGGGAAAGGATTGTAGCTTCTATAATTAGTACTAATTAGTTATGCTATTAAGTTGATACTCTGCCGACTCAAGCCCTTTGCGCAGGACTTACAGCTTGCGTTTCCGACTCTTCGTCGCCTCCAGGACAATTCAGCTCTAGCAGTGATTACCTCGTTGTCCTAACTACGTGCCTACATTACCTAATAATGTCCTGGTGCCCGAGCCCATCCGCCCCGATCTAAATGCTCCACCAGCGACCCAAGGACGCAACAATTATGCACATTCTTCTCTCCTGCTACACCGAGCTTGTCCACACACTGCCTACATCTTTTGGTACCAGACTACAATTTCCACAGTCAACAATGTAGTATTCGGCGTGTACAGTCCTAATCAACCCAAGACGCTACAGCTTCGACACAGCAGACAGCAGACTACGACCGCATCGAGCCGCCACGCTCTCGCTCCCCGAGTTTAGACACTCACAAATCTCAATCGAGCCGCCACGCTCTCCCACATAGAGCTCCACGACTCCGGCCTCACTCAGCTCTCTGCTCTGCTCCAGGCTTCGTCTCATAATGAGATAATGGAGCGAGTATAAGGATTACTCGCTACAGGACTCCCCCTGCCAGGGAATGAAAGAAAAACAATGTAACAAAAAATGTGATGCTACTGTTCCCTGGGTCGTTGTGGAACTTGTAGTCCGGTACCAAAAGATGCAGGCAGTGTGTGGACAAGCTCGATGTAGCAGGAGAAAAGAATGTGCATGATTGTTGCGTTCTTGGGTCGCTGGTGGAGCATTTAGATCCGGGGCGGATAGGCTCGAGCACCAGGACCAGGAGCATTCTCTGCTTGAAACTTGAAGTAAATATGTGTTTGATGATAGTAGAATTAGTTTTATAATAGCAAGATATTATACCAGTAGTTATTAAGTAAATAAACACTGGTGAACATGAAATATGAGAGAAGGTGATGAGCCCTGCCTGATGGGATCATTTACTATCACCAAATGCCCCTGTTCACCTAGTAGTAAGGGTGTACCTTAGCTATACATACCCATTTCTAATTTATTTAGTTTGGTTTTATTTTGAAATTAAATCTGGGTGAGACATAAAATAAAAATATGCTGCACAAATGATGTTAGGTAAGGAGAAGGGTAAAAATGTCACAAACTTTATTCATTGAATATTTAAAGCTATAATTATGACTATATACTGTAGATTATTAAAAAAGAGAGAGGGAAGTAGGGTCCAAAACCTCTTCCTGTTATACAATTTGGGTGTGGAACAAGTAATTATCAAAGAAGGCACCATGCCGGGAAGGCTATGTAGCAGTAAGGCAGTGAGGTGAGGCAGCTACTTATTTGAGAAATGCTTATTTTATTTACCTTATAAGCTGAGGCAACTTATTTTATTTGAGGAATACTCAGCTGATTCCTCTACATTTAGCATGGAACAAATTTGTGTCCAAGACCTCTTCCTGTTACTCAATTTGGCTGTGTGTAACCAAACTAGAAGTGCTCTACAAATCAAGGGACCCAGAATGTGGAATGACCTCACGAATCATGTCAAAGGCTGTACCTCTCTCAACCAGTTTAAGAGTTAAACCAAGTACTGCCTAATTAACTCCATGTAACCTAACTTACCTCCTAAATGTCAACCCATGTCTTGCTATTTTTTAAACAACGCTGTTCACCAACATGTGCAATTGCTGAGTTATGCTATGCTAACCCCCCTTTTTATACTTTTTATTCCCTCTTTCAACACAATTTATACCTAATCCCGATTACTAAGTTTTAGTCTGTGTTTTTTCCCCCACACCTTGCCCGAAATGCTATGAGTATTAGTGGCTTTAGGTATTGTATGTACTAGCTCTGTCTATAAATCCAACATTATGTTTGTAAATCAACTGTATGTACTTTTCCTGAATAAAATGTATTTATTATTTATTTTTTAATCAGTAAGTATTAAAAGAAGGCACCAAGCTGGGAAGGCTATGTAGCACCATTGTGTGTAACAATAAACCCAATTTTTTTTAACAAATAATGCACCTGTATGGTAAAACAAATCCTGTCAGCTGTAAAAATATGATGCAGTTATTTAAATGAAAAATATAATGAAAGAAATATTACTGGTTTATTTTTATCCTATCTTTTTGTACTGTACAGTATATCCAAGGAAGTGAAAAATTGAGACATAATACACAATTTAATGAATGATTAGCATGGATTAGCAGTTCAAAAGAAATATGACTTGTATTACATATCAACATGAGATCTTAATGATCCATGGTCAACATGATTTAATAAGGATAATACAGTACTGTATTTGTAATAATACAAACTATAATTTAAAATCTTTATTACTGATTTTTTTTATTAAGAAGATTAGGTATACACAGCAATGTGCTGCTACCCTATTCTATATGGAATATTACACAGTGTAGATAAAAAACTAGCTATAAGTTTATCTAATACTCCCATCTCACAGGATGGTTAGACATACTGTACATGGAATCAATTTAGAAAATACCAGCCTCAATACAAAAAACAAATCAACTCTGACTAAACAACTCTAAGCAATTTTCACAAGAGGTAAGCACTGAATCATGGAAACATTATATTATAATTACTCTTACCAGTTTCTACAAAACTCCTCTCAAACAATGTATTTTTAAACATGTTTAGGTATACACAGCAATGTGCTGCTTCCCTATTCTGTCTAAAGGACCACACAGTGTAGATCAAAAACCAGCTACAAGCTCACCTCACAGGATGGCCAGTCATACATGGAATTAGGAGAGAACAAAATACTTAATGCTGATCTATTAGCCTCCACTGGCAAAATCTGGGTGCAGCACAAGAATATCTTCCAATATTCCTGAGTGTATGAAGTAATTACAGAGCTCAAAATACCTCATACCATTTGGTATGAAGTCACTGATAACAGGACAATCACAGATATAGTGTTGGAGAGTATGTTCTCTCAAGTAGGACTGAAAACAGATGTTTTTTTCCACCAAGAGGGCTATAAACCCATGGAACCGCCTACCCGCTGAAGCCGTAAATGCCAAATTCCAGCTAAAAAATATAATTAAGACAATTGGCGGGCCCTTCAACAAGCCGCCGGCTTTCTGTCCTCTTCGAGGTCACTAGATAGTTAGTGGCCCTTGGGTAAATTCAGTAAATATATACAATAATTGTCAGCGCATCTTCCGAGCAACAAGGACAGCTACACAGTATCTCTTAGAATTACGTAGGTAAACAACAAATGTAACATATTTGTTTACTACAATGTCGGTGCTGGCTGTAGAAGTTGAAAAAACATTGTTTTACTTCGAAACAATAGGAGGTAATGTAGGCACGTAGTTAGGACAACGAGGGAATCACTGCAAGAGCTGAATTGTCCTGGAGGCGACGAAGAGTCGGAAACGCAAGCTGTAAGTCCTGTACTGCGCAAAGTGCTTGAGTCGGCAGAGTATCAGAATGCAGTGAACGTGTAGATGAATCTGACGAAAGAGCAGTTTTCGTGGGAGTCCCTGTAGAACAAGCAGTGCCCTGGCAGCGACGGAGAGTCGGTAGGACAGGCTGTAGATCCCACATGATATAGTTGCTGATTAAACTGTCAGATGAGTCAGTAACGCTCGCGGTGCAGCAAGCTGTAGTTGATGAAAATACAGAGATGATCGCGGTGAAAATCATAGCTGTAGCGAGGTTGTTGGGAGCGTTCCATGACAGGTGGCAGCAGTCCACACCATGCAGCAGTAGCAGTAGAGGTCCAGTGAGAGTCCATGTTGTAGTCAGTCGTGGCTGGGTATCGTCGCAACACTCTGGGGTCACAAATGTAACGTACGATTATGTTACGTTGTTGGGTAGATTAGATACACAGTATTTAGTGAGTTTCATATTTATTTAGTAGTCCTGGATACAGCAGTGTCGTAGACGTTGAGACGGAGCTTGGAGTAGAGCAGAGTGCTTAGCTAAATGACTTGTGGGGTTCAGTCCCTGAGCCCATTATGTTCCTCTGTAACCCTTTCCACTACCGTCCACAAGAAAGGATATAGACTGCATAATAAATGAACTAAACAAAAGAAACCTGTATAAATTAAAAAGTGGTAGAGCAAGGGGACACTAATGGAAGCTGGAGACACAATCGAATTGAAGAGATGTAAGGATGTTCTCGTTCTCTATATGGGTGGTCGGCAAGTGGAATGCATTGAAGGACGAGGTTGCTGAAGCCAATTCCATCCACAACTTTAAGAAAAAAATATAATGAAAACATTATTGATGAGAGAGGTAATTAGCACACTATAAATGGCTAGGAGGCAAGCCATAAAGAGCTAATCTCATGCCCCCGTAGTCACTGACAGGTAAACCCACACTGGTGTAGGTAATGGAGTTACCTATTTGGTGGGTGGGGTTCAGTCCCTGAGCCCATTATGTGCCTCTGTAACCCTTTCCACTACCGCCCACAAGATGGGTATGGGGTGCATAATAAATGAACTAAACTAAACCTACATTTGGAGTGTAAAAACACCATCATTATGAAATCTCACAAACCTATTGTACCGTGTAAATAAATATAATAAAAACTGAAATTATCGATAACATGTGTATGTATATATGTATACGTATATATATATGTACATGTATGTATGAGGGTGTGTACATGTGTATACAACATTGATAATTTTGTAACTAGCGTCAAACATTGTTATTTGCTTAGCTAAACGAACTAGAGGGTTCAGTTCCTGAACCGATTACGTGCCTCTGTAATTCTTTACACCACCGCCCACGGAATGGGTATAGGGTGCATAATAAAGAAAGAAATTGTATCGATAACAGGGCAATCACAGATATAGTACTGTACAGTATGCCCCTAACTCTTGTTCACATAGTTTACAATCGAAACGTTCACCACTGATCCAGTTTAGTTTAGACAAACATATAAATTGTCACACTAGCTCTCCACTGATCCATTTACCTATTTACATATTCCCAGATACCTATTTACTGGTGTGAGAGTGAATGAGCCGCCATCTGTGGGCGGTGCCGGGAAGCTGGTGAGGTAAACACTGGTGGAGGACCATGGTAGGCTGCCTCCTCTTCTCTCTCTCTTCTCTTCTCTTATTTATTACCTCTTGTGTTAATATACGTGTACACTACGGCATGATTGTGTCGAGTTGTTGCTTTCTCTCTCTCTAGTTACATGTGTGTGTGTTGGTGGGGTTTAAGGTGTGGTCGCTTATTGCCTGCTTGGGGGAATATGTAGGGTGACATGTGTTGCTGGGAAACTATAAAAATAGACAAATATTGTTGTTAGGAAATTAGTGACGCGAGGTGTATAGTGAATTATCGAGACGTTCACCATGAAATGCAATTTACGAGGCCTCGAGAGGACACGAGAAATTAACATTTTCCGTGACAAATCACTTTTTCAGCTGACGATTTTCATAGACCACATTTTAAAGTATAAGTTTATTAAGTTGGATACAAGTTACTATGTACCAAAGGTGCTTTGCAAATTGATTTTGAGACCTAAAACAACCTAACCCTATGCAGACGAGGAGTCACAAGAACGTGGCTGAGATATGTAGACCAAACCACTAGAAAGTGAAGGGATGACGACATTTGGGTCCGTCCTGGACCATTCTCAAGTCAATTTTTTTATTTTCAATTCTCAAGTTGATTGTTGACTGCCATTCTCAAGTCGATTGAAAAATCCGTCCGTCTTGAACCATTCTTAAGTCGGATTTTTTTATTTTCAATTCTCAAGTTGATTGTTGATTGCCATTCTCAAGTCATTTGTAAAATCGACTCTTTAAATCACTAGAGTAAAGAGTGAAAAGAAAACCCCCAGAGTACCTCCTTGAGAACAGGTGGCTTAAACTTACATGTCCACTAGTGTCTTTGCTACACCTTGCTGAATTTAAACAAAAATCTTTGTTTTCTGATTGACATTCTTACATTTTTCTTCCCATATCCTTATGTATGTATGTATTTCTTTTCTGAAAACTAAAAAAAAGAATACTTTACTTTTCAGTTTTCATTGCTGACTAAACGTGAAAATGCTCATTCAGAAGGCATTTGGTCATGTGCTTGGGGCCATTTTGTCCCAGAAGAAAAAAAGAAAGACAATGAAGATAATGAGAAAGAGAATGGCGAAGAAAATAAAGAAAACCAAGTGAGAAGAAATGAAGAGAATTTGCCCGACTCGTGAGTAGTGTGGCAGATGCTTTGGTTTGGATGTATGTTGGTTTGATTTGTAGATGCTTTGGTTTGGATACCTTGAGAATGTCAGACACATGATGACTACGAGTTGAGTTTTATTTTAGAACAGTTCTTTTAAGGTATGAGTTACTTCATGGGTTTATATCAGCTTAAATCAATGTAAATTAATTTGCATTTGTTGGACAGTTTGCATAGTCAGAAAATTTTAATTGTTTCTTTATATAGTTAGGATTGCAGAAGAGGAGTTTCATTGAATACATCATGTACAGTAGTTTGTGAATTTGTGGAACAAATTACCCAGTAAACTACCATAACAGACGTGTGATCACTGAACTGTTACAAGCACGTGGGTGGATATAAATATGGAGCAACCTGCGTTGTAACTACTGTACTATATCAATATTTATCAGTTAATTTTCATTATCGCATTATGTCAGCAGACATCTGTTCATTACACATCCTGCAACAGTCTCTCCACAAGGCTACCATATTGCCAGGGAACACACACAATAGTGTAATATTCAGCTTATACACACAAACGCACACACAGTATATACAGTGGTACCTCGCATAACGAATTTAATCCGTTCCAACGCCGCCGTCGTCTTGTGAAACCGGCGTCATGCAAAACAATTTTCCTCACCCAAAACAATGTAAATACAAATAATCCGTTCCACCCCCTAAAACAACAATATGACATTATACACTGGTAATATTATACTGTACATGTTAAATAAATGTTTGTTTGACTGTTTCCATGTGTATATTCACTTAACCTTATGAAGAGTCGTTGCTGGCTTGAGGGAGCCGATCGGGAGGGAGGGAGGAGAGGGCTTATGGGGAGGAGGGTGACACCACCTCTGGGTCAGGCGGGCTCGCTCTCTTTGGGAATTTAACCCCACTAGGACCGGGTTGTGGTTCAATATCACTAGCACGTCTCTTCCCACCCTGTCCACTGACCATATCGCGTGTCACTTGCTGTTGTCTTCGTTTGAGGATATCCCTAAATCGAGACAGCACATTGTCATTAAACAGGTTCACGCACCGTGTTGTCACCGCCTTATCAGGGTGATGCTTTTCCGCAAATGCTGTCACCTTTTCGAACATGCCCAGCACATCCCTGATCTCACTAGATGGGATAGCATCCTCGCAGACCTCCTCCTCCCCCGATGAGAGCTCCTGTACCTCCTGTTGCACCAGCTCTTTCTGCAGTTCCAGGAGTTCCTCGGTGGTCAGTTCATCACTGTGCTCCTCCACCAACTCCTGCACATCAGCGGCATCCACCTCCAGACCCAGTGTGTGTCCAAGAGCGACAATATCATCCACTAAAAGAGCCTCCGGGTCATCCACAGGTGCGGATGCAGGTTCAGGACCGAAACCTTTGAAGTCTCGCTCAGGGACACCCTCAGGCCACAGGTTTCGCCATGCAGAGTGTAGGGTTCTCCGTGACACCCCTTCCCAGGCCTTATCTATCAAACGCAAGGCCCCCATGATATTGAACTGCTCCTTCCAGAATTGTCTGAGGGTCAGCTCTGTGGTGTCAATCACATGAACACATCTCTCCAACAAGGCCTTCATATAGAGCTTCTTAAAGTTAGCAATGACCTGCTGATCCATGGGTTGGAGGAGTGGCGTGGTGTTTGGAGGAAGAAACTTGATGGTGATAAACTGATTTTCAGGGAACAGATCATCTTGCAGTTGGCGAGGATGCGCAGGTGCATTATCGAGCACAAGCAAGGCCTTGAGTGGTAACTGCTTGTCGACGAGATAATTTCTCACTGTGGGGCCGAAAACGTCATTTACCCACTCACTAAAGAAGATCTGCGTGACCCAGGACCTCTTGTTCGACCTCCACATCACATTCAGCCGTATCTTGTGAACCTTAAACGCCTTGAACACACGTGGATTTTCTGAGTGATAGACGAGCAGCGGCTTGACCTTGCAATCGCCACTTGCATTGGCGCAGAGCACGAGAGTAAGGCGATCCTTCATCGGTTTGTGGCCAGGCAATGAATGTTCCTCTTGCGTGATGTAGGTCCTCTTCGTCAGTTTTTTCCAAAAAAAGGCCGGTCTCGTCACAATTGAAAACTTGTTGTGGCAGAAACTGCTCCTGATCAACAAATTTCTGGAACTCTAGCACAAAAGCCTCAGCAGCACCTTTATCAGAGCTGGCAGCCTCCCCATGTCGCACAACACTGTGTATACCACTCCTTTTCTTAAAGTTCTCAAACCAGCCACGGCTTGCCCTAAATACCTCCTCATCTTCAGACGACGCACCTGGTATCTTCTTGACAAGGTCCACATACAGCATCCTAGCCTTAGCGCAAACGATAGCTTCAGAGACACAATCGCTATGCAATTGTCGTTCATTCATCCACACCAGCAGTAGCCGTTCCACATCTTCCAGGAGTTTTGGACGTTTGCTGGTGAGCTTGCTAACTCCTTTGGCCACGTCAAGCGTCTTATATTTATCCTTGCCCTTCAGCATGGTGGATATTGTTGAGGGAGCCCTGCCATACTCCCTGGCAAGATCAACCACACGAATACCACGCTCATGCTTTGCTATGATCTCTTTCTTCACTTCCACAGTGATTACCTCTTTCTTCCCCTTGCAAACTCCTGCTTTCGCAGGCTGCTTCTTGGACGACATCGTGCGTTCAGAATTGTAGTCACAAAACCACAAAAAAAACAACACGAATATCAGAATTGTGTGCGGAGCGATACAGACGGATACTGGTCGTGTGAGACACCAATACAACACTGTCGACAGTGGCGGCGTGACCCCACCATGTGGTGTTGACGTTACACAAACGAGCGTTCGTCATATGGGACGATTTCTCGCCGATCGGGCCAGTCGTTACCCAAAATATTCGCCTTGTGGGGCGATCGTTATGCAAGGTACCACTGTATACAGTATTAATATATTTTGGTAGCAGTCTTTCTTTTAGACATATATTATTGAATGTGACAAAAGGATGAAATCAATGATTCTAGATTGAATCTTCTCAATTTTTCTTATGTTTTTCACTTGAGAAGGACGTTGAAGAATTTACTCGCCAAAGTTCATTTTCCAGTTTTATTTGGCCTGATGCTAAACATTCGTTTCGTTAACCCTTGTTAACATTATCAAAGGCAGAGTTCGAATGGCAACAAGTTCTTATGCTGCAGGATATATATATAACCAGAGATGAGGAGAAGGTTCAGCAACATAGCAAGCTTCTCACTGGTCTACAAAATCCTAGTCACTGTACCATTCTTGTCGCTGGAGATCAACTTCTCACACAAATTACTGGCTTAATGTTAATCATTTCATAATACACATATACTGTACTGTACTACTCATGATATCAGCTCTCAAATTCCACTATAGGTCTGCTCTGTAGGTAAATTCCAGCTACAACAAGTGTGGAGTTATAGTATCTGGGACTTGTCACCCTAGTGATGCAACCCGTCCTCTTAAAAATGTCGCTTTTCGCTCGTATGCGCGCTATGGCCAAATTTGAACGTAATTTGAAATGAAATCGACTCACAAAAGTGATGTACTGTCCCGTTTTCTGTTTGAGTTGTCCGCCTTACTCGGAAAGGTTAGGAGAGGAAACTTTCAATTAACGTTTTTCATAACGTTTTGAAACTTTATGAGAATTTCCTGCCCACCTAACCTACCAGAGGACCCTTAACTTACTGTTGTTGAAAAAAAATCCCAAATTTATTTTCATTTTTTTCACTTTCAAATTACAGTACGTCCACTTTCAGCCATACTGGTAAACGGCCAAAAGCGACGTTATTTTTAAGAGGACAGGTTGAGTGATGTGTCCATGGCTCAACTGTCAAACCACTCGATGCAGCTCACATATCATAGCTGCTTCCCCAACATGCTTGGGCAAATACGCCATCTCATGTACTACAGTTGTAACATGACCTTTTGCTCTCCATAACAACTCATTGTGCCTTAGCTTCAAGACTTCTGCTATCAATTTGTGGTCGCCGCCAGGTCATTGACGTATTGCCAGCTTCACATAATTGGCAGACCCACTGAGAGGATTTCCAACATATGCTGGCATTCCAGTATGCCTTCTCTATCTGTTCCATACCTGCTTCCACACTCAGCCTATTCATACACCCATTTATAAATGCTTCCACAGGCTTCACACTTTTTGAGCATAACTAATTTTACTAATGTTCATTTGGGTCACACCACATATGGGTTACTAGGATTTGCATAGTTTTCTGTATATAGTGTGTTTGTGTTTATATTACTGTATTTGGTTACACTTCGGAGCTAACCTTACATACATTAGTTAAATATTATATTCTTATTTGTACATTATACTGTACTTGTGAATGTATAATATGTATGTAATGTATATAAAAATGCTTGTAAACAAGAGTACAGTACAGTATTTCATTTGAAAGAACCTATTTAAATTAAGTATTCAATGATTATTCTTCCTTATTACTACAATGTCGGTGCTGGCTGTAGAAGTTGAAAAAACATTGTTTTACTTCGAAATATACTAATTTTATAAGAAAATTCGACGTAAATAGGAGGCAGTAGAGCTGCGATAAGCCAGCGCTAAATCTTCAATATGAAGAATGTTGCTGCTCTCTGATTGGCCAAACGAAACACAGTAGTGACCTCTATCGGCACGCAGGTGAACCAACAATTTTTCTTCCTAAGTATACCTTATTGAATAGCACCTAAGCATCTTCTTAGGGCGCACTTAGGAACCTTCGTAGCAAACCCACTTACGAAGAAATACACAGAGCTTCCTGAATCTAGGTCCAGGACAATAGGAGGTAATGTAGGCACGTAGTTAGGACAACGAGGGAATCACTGCAAGAGCTGAATTGTCCTGGAGGCGACGAAGAGTCGGAAACGCAAGCTGTAAGTCCTGTACTGCGCAAAGTGCTTGAGTCGGCAGAGTATCAGAATGCAGTGAACGTGTAGATGAATCTGACGAAAGAGCAGTTTTCGTGGGAGTCCCTGTAGAACAAGCAGTGCCCTGGCAGCGACGGAGAGTCGGTAGGACAGGCTGTAGATCCCACATGATATAGTTGCTGATTAAACTGTCAGATGAGTCAGTAACGCTCGCGGTGCAGCAAGCTGTAGTTGATGAAAATACAGAGATGATCGCGGTGAAAATCATAGCTGTAGCAAGGTTGTTGGGAGCGTTCCATGACAGGTGGCAGCAGTCCACACCATGCAGCAGTAGCAGTAGAGGTCCAGTGAGAGTCCATGTTGTAGTCAGTCGTGGCTGGGTATCGTCGCAACACTCTGGGGTCACCAATGTAACGTACGATTATGTTACGTTGTTGGGTAGATTAGATACACAGTATTTAGTGAGTTTCATATTTATTTAGTAGTCCTGGATACAGCAGTGTCGTAGACGTTGAGACGGAGCTTGGAGTAGAGCAGAGTGCTTAGCTAAATGACTTGTACGTGGGGTTCAGTCCCTGAGCCCATTATGTTCCTCTGTAACCCTTTCCACTACCGTCCGCAAGAAAGGATATAGGCTGCATAATAAATGAACTAAACAAAAGAAACCTGTATAAATTAAAAAGTGGTAGAGCAAAGGGACACTAATGGAAGCTGGAGACACAATCGAATTGAAGAGATGTAAGGATGTTCTCGTTCTCTATATGGGTGGTCGGCAAGTGAAATGCATTGAAGGACGAGGTTGCTGAAGCCAATTCCATCCACAACTTTAAGAAAAAAATATAATGAAAACATTATTGATGAGAGAGGTAATTAGCACACTATAAATGGCTAGGAGGCAAGCCATAAAGAGCTAATCTCATGCCCCCGTAGTCACTGACAGGTAAACCCACACTGGTGTAGGTAATGGAGTTACCTACATTTGGAGTGTAAAAACACCATCATTATGTAATCTCACAAACCTATTGTACCGTGTAAATAAATATAATAAAAACTGAAATTATCGATAACATGTGTATGTATATATGTATACGTATATATATATGTACATGTATGTATGAGGGTGTGTACATGTGTATACAACATTGATAATTTTGTAACTAGCGTCAAACATTGTTATTTGCTTAGCTAAACGAACTAGAGGGTTCAGTTCCTGAACCGATTACGTGCCTCTGTAATTCTTTACACCACCGCCCACGGAATGGGTATAGGGTGCATAATAAAGAAAGAAATTGAATCGATAACAGGGCAATCACAGATATAGTACTGTACAGTATGCCCCTAAATCTTGTTCACATAGTTTACAATCGAAACGTTCACCACTGATCCAGTTTAGTTTAGACAAACATATAAATTGTCACACTAGCTCTCCACTGATCCATTTACCTATTTACATATTCCCAGATACCTATTTACTGGTGTGAGAGTGAATGAGCCGCCATCTGTGGGCGGTGCCGGGAAGCTGGTGAGGTAAACACTGGTGGAGGACCATGGTAGGCTGCCTCCTCTTCTCTCTCTCTTCTCTTCTCTTATTTATTACCTCTTGTGTTAATATACGTGTACACTACGGCATGATTGTGTCGAGTTGTTGCTTTCTCTCTCTCTAGTTACATTGTGTGTGTGTGTGGGTGGGGTTTAAGGTGTGGTCGCTTATTGCCTGCTTGGGGGAATATGTAGGGTGACATGTGTTGCTGGGAAACTATAAAAATAGACAAATATTGTTGGTAGGAAATTAGTGACGCGAGGTGTATAGTGAATTATCGAGACGTTCACCATGAAATGCAATTTACGAGGCCTCGAGAGGACACGAGAAATTAACATTTTCCGTAACAAATCACTTTTTCAGCTGACGATTTTCATAGACCACATTTTAAAGTATAAGTTTATTAAGTTGGATACAAGTTACTATGTACCAAAGGTGCTTTGCAAATTGATTTTGAGACCTAAAACAACCTAACCCTATGCAGACGAGGAGTCACAAGAACGTGGCTGAGATATGTAGACCAAACCACTAGAAAGTGAAGGGACGACGACATTTTGGTCCGTCCTGGACCATTCTCAAGTCAATTTTTTTATTTTCAATTCTCAAGTTGATTGTTGACTGCCATTCTCAAGTCGATTGAAAAATCCGTCCGTCTTGAACCATTCTTAAGTCGGATTTTTTTATTTTCAATTCTCAAGTTGATTGTTGATTGCCATTCTCAAGTCAATTGTAAAATCGACTCTTTAAATCACTAGAGTAAAGAGTGAAAAGAAAACCCCCAGAGTACCTCCTTGAGGACAGGTTGCTTAAACTTACATGTCCACTAGTGTCTTTGCTACACCTTGCTGAATTTAAACAAAAATCTTTGTTTTCTGATTGACATTCTTACATTTTTCTTCCCATATCCTTATGTATGTATGTATGTATTTCTTTTCTGAAAACTAAAAAAAAGAATACTTTACTTTTCAGTTTTCATTGCTGACTAAACGTGAAAATGCTCATTCAGAAGGCATTTGGTCATGTGCTTGGGGCCATTTTGTCCCAGAAGAAAAAAAGAAAGACAATGAAGATAATGAGAAAGAGAATGGCGAAGAAAATAAAGAAAACCAAGTGAGAAGAAATGAAGAGAATTTGCCCGACTCGTGAGTAGTGTTGCAGATGCTTTGGTTTGGATGTATGTTAAATACCTTGAGAATGTCAGACACATGGAGACTACGAGTTGAGTTTTATTTTAGAACAGTTCTTTTAAGGTATGAGTTACTTCATGGGTTTATATCAGCTTAAATCAATGTAAATTAATTTGCATTTGTTGGACAGTTTGCATAGTCAGAAAATTTTAATTGTTTCTTTATATAGTTAGGATTGCAGAAGAGGAGTTTCATTGAATACATCATGTACAGTAGTTTGTGAATTTGTGGAACAAATTACCAAGTAAACTACCATAACAGACGTGTGATCACTGAACTGTTACAAGCATGTGGGTGGATATAAATAAGGAGCAACCTGCGTTGTAACTACTATATCAATATTTATCAGTCAATTTTCATTATCGCATTATGTCAACAGGCATCTGTTCATTACACATCCTGCAACAGTCTCTCCACAAGGCTACCATATTGCCAGGGAACACACACAATAGTGTAATATTCAGCTTATATTTTGGTAGCAGTCTTTCTTTTAGACATATATTATTGAATGTGACAAAAGGATGAAATCAATGATTCTAGATTGAATCTTCTCAATTTTTCTTATGTTTTTCACTTGAGAAGGACGTTGAAGAATTTACTCGCCAAGGTTCATTTTCCAGTTTTATTTGGCCTGATGCTAAACATTCGTTTCGTTAACCCTTGTTAACATTATCAAAGGCAGAGTTCGAATGGCAACAAGTTCTTATGCTGCAGGATATATATATAACCAGAGATGAGGAGAAGGTTCAGCAACATAGCAAGCTTCTCACTGGTCTACAAAATCCTAGTCACTGTACCATTCTTGTCGCTGGAGATCAACTTCTCTCACAAATTACTGGCTTAATGTTAATTATTTCATAATACACATATACTGTACTGTACTACTCATGATATCAGCTCTCAAATTCCACCATAGGTCTGTCTGTAGGTAAATTCAGCTACAACAAGTGTGGAGTTATAGTATCTGGGACTTGTCACCCTAGTGATGCAACCCGTCCTCTTAAAAATGTCGCTTTTCGCTCGTATGCGCGCTATGGCCAAATTTGAACGTAATTTGAAATGAAATCGACTCACAAAAGTGATGTACTGTCCCGTTTTCTGTTTGAGTCGTCCGGCTTACTCGGAAAGGTTAGAAGAGGAAACTTTCAATTAACGTTTTTCATAACGTTTTGAAACTTTATGAGAATTTCCTGCCCACCTAACCTATCAGAGGACCCTTAACTTACTGTTGTTGAAAAAAAAATCCCAAATTTATTTTCATTTTTTTCATTTTCAAATTACGTCCACTTTCGGCCATACTGGTAAACGGCCAAAAGCGACGTTATTTTTAAGAGGACAGGTTGAGTGATGTGTCCATGGCTCAACTGTCAAACCACTCGATGCAGCTCACATATCATAGCTGCTTCCCCAACATGCTTGGGCAAATACGCCATCTCATGTACTACAGTTGTAACATGCCCTTTTGCTCTCCATAACAACTCATTGTGCCTTAGCTTCAAGACTTCTGCTATCAATTTGTGGTCGCCGCCAGGTCATTGACGTATTGCCAGCTTCACATAATTGGCAGACCCACTGAGAGGATTTCCAACATATGCTGGCATTCCAGTATGCCTTCTCTGTCTGTTCCATACCTGCTTCCACACTCAGCCTATTCATACACCCATTTATAAATGCTTCCACAGGCTCCACACTTTTTGAGCATAACTAATTTTACTAATGTTCATTTGGGTCACACCACATATGGGTTAATAGGATTTGCATAGTTTTCTGTATATAGTGTGTTTGTGTTTATATTACTGTATTTGGTTACACTTCGGAGCTAACCTTACATACATTAGTTAAATATTATATTCTTATTTGTACATTATACTGTACTTGTGAATGTATAATATGTATGTAATGTATATAAAAATGCTTGTAAACAAGAGTACAGTACAGTATTTCATTTGAAAGAACCTATTTAAATTAAGTATTCAATGATTATTCTTCCTTATGTCTGAATAAACAATTGAGGAGCATATTTTAGGGAACAGAGGTATATTGTCACTGGAGGCCTGGATGACTTGGTCCGAGTGTGGTGCTGGTCAGGTGATGGGGTGGAAGGAGAGTTGACACCAATGCACACACTTGAAGGTCACTCACTCGGAGTTATATCAGTTGATGTTAACGCTGCTGGGACTACGGCTGCATCATCGTCTTTAGACTCGACTATTCGATTGTGGAATCTCCATTCTGGTGAGCAGGTAAGAATAAAGGCCATGCAGCAGCTCCTGTAGTAATCTCTTGGCTCATCCAAAAAATTATTTCACTTAGATGTATTTCTTTAACAAGGATGCATATTTGAAATATTACACATACTGTATATGAAATATTACACGTATTGTACATGAAATACTGTATTACACTTATTTGAAATATTATGCAAGCTTGAAATATTACACATACAGTAAAGTACTTGAAATATTTCTCATGCTTGAAATACAGTATTTCATTCGACTTGCATTCTCATATATTTGTTGCATGGTTCATAAATTTGATCACCACAAATTTTATGAAATTAATAGTAATGTATAACTTTCGTTCCTCGGGTGATTATACTTATTGTTTGTGTAATTTATTATATATGATGTCTAGGTAACATGTATGGCTGGGTATTACATTTCATAGACAATGTGTTCTGTTATGTAATAGACTAAACAAAAATTATTGAATATTTGTCCAATGAAGAAACAGAAACAGTATTTTAATGGAATAGATGAAAAGAGCAAGTCTTTTTTTTCTTACTATAAATTTTATAAAAAAGCAAAAGAAAAATACAGTACTGTACTCTATTTTTTTGTTCTTCCCTTGGGAATAAAACCTTTGAGATACTGTAATAATATGCATAATAATAGTGTAATATATTGAAGATGATAATTACTTGTTAAATGATCCATAGATATCTTGGATGGTCTCGAAGAAGAATGGAAGATGGCGAGGAAGTTTTTTCATCCTCGTTTATTTCTACTGATTACGTTTTCCTTCCAGTTGCAGACCATTGACTGTGGCCCAGTTGAAGCCTGGTCGGTTGTATTTTCTCCCGAGGGTAATCTCATAGCCTCAGGAAACCATGCTGGTAAGATCAATGTTTATGCAGTTGATGGCGGGCGTCACGTAACAACATTAGACACAAGAGGACGTTTTACTTACTCAATTGCTTATGTGAGTTCTAGTGTACTAATATATTATTTACAATTTTTAGCACAACTATGGAATTGTTATTAGAATATTGAAAAGTACCATGTGTGTAATAAAGGAAATTTGCAAAACACTGGGAGAAGCAAGCATCTTGTGTATGTAATACTTTTCAGATTGGGATATTAGTCACAAATTTATTCACAACAGGGGAGATTTGAGGCATTTTACATTTACTGTTTAATAGTATTCTCATTCATATTTAGTATTTTCCACTTTTGTATTTACACTAATTTTTTATTATAATTTTTTTAGAAAATACAGTATAGTTATTTACTGTACTTACAGAATACTGTACAGTATACATCTATGCAATACAGTACTGTATCTAGAGAATGTAATTTTGAGTACAGTACTCACTTCACTTCACTTACATTGTTTAAATGTAATGTGTTCTATAAGCATAGGTAGCTTGGAATATAGTCAAAATAATGAGGAGACACAGTTTTCTATACAACCCAATCAGTATCTTCCCAGAGCTTAAGAACTGCTCGTTACTAGTGAAACTAGTCGACGCCAGGTATAGGTGAGATACATTGGTTATTGGAGCTTCTATGAAGTGTTGAACACTCATTTGAAGCAAACTGCCCTAAATGCAATAAATGACAGCCATTGGCCACCCAAACTTCCTTGATGCTCGGTGCTCTTTTTTATTATTTTGTTTAATAATTACTTTGTAGTGTAGATAGGTGTGGATATTTTTCTTACTTAACCTTTCAAATTGTATTGATTTTATTGGCAAAAGGGTTAATCTGTCTTTGATGTTAAGGTATGAATTGCATTTCGGATTTCAAGTAATATTCATTGTGTTGTGTTTCACAACAGCTGGTTATATGTGGATTAAGAATTAGAACTACTGTAAGTAGAATGTCTTTTATTTGTATTTAAATATGAAATGGGGCATTATGTTTATTGATTTTCCCTTTAGAGTCGTGATGGAAAGTATGTTGCCAGTGGAGCAATAGATGGTTTCATCAATGTATTTGACGTCGAGAGTGGGAAACTGGTACATACCTTAGAAGGACATGCCATGACAATTCGTTCCATCACATTTTCACCAGACTCGCAACTTCTCCTCACAGCTGCTGATGATGGACACATGAAAATGTATGATATGTAAGTACAGTACAAGAAAATTATTTTGCTAACATATGTACTGTAGTTAGATAATGCAATATCTGGAGAGGGTTCTGAGAGTTGTTCTGCTTCCTGAGCTCGGCCCCCGCTTGTGGGAATGATTAAGTTTGCTAAATAATGAATGTGCTTGTAGTGTCAATTTTTCTTCCGGTATTTATATTTCTTGTGCTTTTACTATTTTCGTAGTTAAACAGGTGACTGTTCACATGAGAGCAGCTGAGTGTAGGTTATCAGTGTATCCATGAGATCTTTATGGCTACACTTGATGCATACTCTCATACACTTGGGATTCTTCTTGTATTTCCTGTGTTTTTTTTTTTCAAACTTTTGGACTATTGATTTGCATCAGTGCACTTTATTGCATATTACTTGTAAGGATATGCCTCATTTTATTGACTTTGAACTTAAAATACGTAATGCTCTCCCTCTAAATATAATAGGATAGCATTAGCAGTTAATTATAATAGATGTAATGACTTTATGCAAGTTTAATATTGTATATATAATTTTATTTATATATAATTTCATTTAGTTTATATAGTACTTATATATATACCTATATTCGTATATGTTCATTACATGTAATTGTCTCCAGCAAGAGCAGCAACTTGGCATGTACACTCTCTGGCCACGGCTCCTGGGTGCTGAGTGTGGACTTCGCTCGTGACCAACAGCACTTTGTGTCGTCATCTTCTGACCACACCGTCAAGGTCTGGGACTTTGCCCAACGTAATTGTGTCCACACCTTCAAGGATCATCATGATCAGGTTTGTGCATATTTATTGTTTCAATGACAACAGGATAAGCAGTAACATTGGCCACATGGTTAAGGAAGAGTTTTAAGTTTAAATTTCTATCATGAACATGAGAATTGAGGAAGCTGCTGAAGGCCTATTGGTCCATGCAAGGCAGCTCCTATTTAAATCCACCAAAACTCTTTCATATACACCTACATCCAACCTATGTGTGATAAAATCAACTAATCTCACATCTACTATGTTATCTGGTAATTTGCTCCATAGAGCAACCACCTTATTTCCAAACCAGTGTCGTACTGTATTTACCCAGATGTTTCCCGTATCTAAACTTATCCAGTTTATATCCAGTGTTTCAAGTTTACATTGTGTTGGTATATTTAACATCTTATTAACATCTCCTTTGTTATACCCTTTTATTCTAGTGGTCTAGGTATTATCTTCTGAATTTAGTCTCGTGGCCAAAATATGTTAGAGATCGCTAGATATAAGGCTCAGGAAATAGTAAACGTCAGCTATTGAATTTCCCCCAACTCTATACTGTGGCACAGGAAATGGGAGGCCCAATGAAACACTGAATAATTTATTTCCCCAGTATAATCTAAGGCATATAATCTAATCTAGAGGTCTAAGGCATGTGCTTGGGAGTACCCAGTGTGCAGGTCCGAGCCCTCCTCGTGGCTCCTACTAATTTTCTCGTTGATTTATCACGTTAATGGGATTTCTTTTTGCATAGGATAGCTCCCCCCAATATCATGAGCTTCTACCTTTCTAATCAATCTTTTGGGAGGCACAGTATCAAAAACTTTGCTGTAGTGAAGGTGCACATCACAATTCTTTTTCACATGCCTCAAAAATGTTGGAACAGAATAAAAAAAATTCTCAAATGAGAGGCGCTTTGTAAAACCATGCTGTGAAGCCTTTATTAATTTATATTTTTCACGCTGAATGAATAGCTTTGTGATTATCGATTTAAGCTATTATCCTCTTAATAGACATTAAGGTGAAATGTCGTTATTTTCTTTCTTAAAGATTCACACTATATTTGCGTTTCTCCATGTTTCCAATACTCTGCTTGATTGTAATGATCAATTAAATGTAGAAGTCAAAGGCCCATTTAGCTCATCTTTACATTCCTTTAGAACCCTGGCAAAGACTTCATCTGCTCCTGGGGACTTGTTTGGCTTTAACTTTTCTCTCAGCTTAATGACTAACTTAACAACCTTTCTTGTTAACTACCTACATAAATTTATTCATGTGTAGGTAAAATATAAAGTTCTTTTCTAGTAAATAGAGACAAATTCCACAAATAAAATGATGTTTAACTGTGATAAATCCCAGATACTTAGATATGGTAAATTGAAGAATGTAAACAAAATAAAGGGTACAAGACATAATCTTACCTACTCATAGAAACAAAACAAGATGTAAAGGATCTGAGAATAATGATGGCAGACAACCTAACATTTAATGAGCATAACAAAGCAAATATAGTATCACCAGGAAAATGATAGGATGGATTAAGAGAACCTTCAAATCTAGGGATGCCACTACAATGCTACTTTTCAAATCATTTGTGCTGTCCCGCCTTGAGTACCGGTCAGTACTCGCCTTCCCTTTCAAAGCAGGAGTGTGTTCTGAAATTAAGGGATTAGTCTAGAAAGGAGATGAGAGGGAGTACTACAAAATATATATACTGTTCATGAAAGATAATGGAAGGCCAGATCCTAAATTTGCACAGTAGAATAACATACTGGAACGAATGATACAGTGTGAAGTGCAGAACCAGAGAACACTATGAATATCAGATGTCCATAGCTGTTCACTATTCTCCCAACAAACATAAGAAATAGTGCCGGAACAAAAGTGATAGTGTTGAAGAGACAATTACAGACATTCTAGCAAGGTGTGTGTGTTCTGAGGAAGAGTGCAGGTGTGTGTGTGTATTCTGGGGAAGAGTGCAGGTGTGTGTGTGTGTGTGTTCTGGGGAAGTGCAGGTGTGTGTGTTCTGGGAGGTAGTGTCGGGTACTTTGGTGAAATATAATATGTTACCACAGGCCTAAATTTCCATAAACAAAGATTAAGACAGTGAGTGAAACAACTTACGAGTTAAATTTTGCATTTATAAAGAATGTCTTGGTCAAACTACTACCAATTTTATACATATTCACATTAGCAGCCCATAATATTCCTTATTACTTGGTATTTGATGACAAATTTTGTAATTGCTTACGTTGTTATACTGTATATTTGTTTTATCTGTCATGTAAATGCTCAAATAAAACAACTGCAGATTTAATGAACATATGTTGCAATTTTATATCTTATTGACTTAATTATGTAGGCTAGCCATCATGTGTCACGTTTTTTTGTGGGTGATATCTCATGGACTGATGTAACTCTTTGGAAATTAATTTAATCTGTTGTGTTTTGTGTATCTGTTCCAGGTTTGGTGTGCTAAATATAGTCAAGACAGCAGTAAAATTGTTAGTGTATCGGAAGACAAGAGTGTTATTGTGTACAACTCTCCGGTCTAGAAATCCAAGATACAAGTTGGGCCAGTTTATTCAGTAATCAAAATTAATTTCAGCTTATTTTATTAATACTTGAATAGTCATTGTGATAATATGTACAATGCTACCTTATAATGAGCAGTAATTGTATGTTGCCATTTTGTTAAGAATGAGTTATCTTAACTTGCACTATCAACTGTAACATAATAATAAAGGAACTACTAATTTGATTACAGTATACAGTTTTGTTTTTACCAGAACTGTAAAATTAAATGTGCTGTTTATTTCTACAAATTTCTTATTAAATGATTGCTTTGCTGAATCTCTCTCTCTCAACCTTGTGTTTTTAGTTAACACTTTGTGTGCACGTACATTCATTTTTGTTATCAAAACCCAACAGAATTCTCTAGTTACAGTATTTCTTGTATCTTCTACAAACTTGAAGGGATGGTCAACAGATGGCAAGACAGCAGTATAACCTCAATTACCTGTCTACTGGTTACTAATCCCGACGATTGCTACATAAAGGTACAGTAAGTGAAAAATATTTTGTTGCTGTTTTCAGTGCTTATTTATATTTGCACATAAAATTGTGTAAATATTATTTGTATGTTTAAATATATAGAAAAAAATATGATTTAATATAAGAATTACTGTACCTAAATTTACCTAAGGGCTACCACGTCTCTAGTGCCTCGATGGAGATAGGAAGCCAGCAGCTTATCAAAGGTTCACTCGCCCTTCCCTCCTTTTTCGTAAATTGATCCAGTTGGGTTTTGGACTGCAGCAATGTCTTTGGCAATTACAGCTTTGGCAGGTAGACGGTTCAATGGATTTATAACCCTATGGGTGAAAAAGTACTGTGTTGCCTATTTTCTGTCCTGCATTCTTTCATGTTGGACTTGAAGTCATTGCTCCTAATGTGTGTTACATTTGATTTGAAGAAGTGTCTGGATCAACATCCTCCAAATTGTTCAGCATTTAAAAGTTTCGATATCAGGCCTGTCATGTCTCGTTTGTAGTTTTAGCCCTGTGGCTATCAGTCGTTAATGGTAGAGAGTTGACTTAGTTTTGGAATGATTTTTACCCAGTGTTTGAACTTTCTCCAAAGAACATTTGTTCTGAAGATGAGGTCTCCATGCTTTGATACAGTAGTCTAAATGGGGCCATACCAGAGATGGTACACTTGAATAACTTTCTTTTTCCAGCAGGTCCCACTTGTGTTATTTTCAATAACTGATGGATTCAAACTCCAAGGTTCTTTTCTTCATCAATGTGTTGCAAGATGATGATTTGATGTGGGTCATTCTTAAGCCCCACATGCAAGGTCTTGCATTTTCAACATTAAAATGCAAGCCCTAATATCATTTTCACTTCCTACTGTACCACAGATCCCTTGAAGACCAGTGACACCACCTGCCTTGTGCAGTAAATATTCATTAAGCTACTGTATATTAGTGATACCATAGTTTATTCTTTCTATACATTGGGGCAGGGGAAGTGGTGCTGCCTTATCTTGAGGAGGTCATCTTATGCGGCAAATATGGGCCTAAACCTGAATTACACCTCAAAATGTTTTTGGTCAACTTACGTGCCAGCATATACAGTATTCAAAATAGATTGTATTTTGTGCTTCAGTGGTTTGGGCAAGTTGGAAAGAAAAATACATTAATATCCTGTGTATATAGGATCTTCAGTAGTATCTTTGTTCTGGTGTAAGAGATGCATAAGGTTGTGCTGTTCATGCATTGTTCAGAATTCAAAGTCATTTCTATTAATAACAGGCTTTATTGTTAAAAAACTATACACACTATTTACAGATTTATATTTCATATATATATATTTATATATACATATATGGCACAGTGAGTGACTAATATAAAGCTAAAAACATGACTTTAGAGATGAATTGTTTTGGGACAAACATCGTGGCTATCTTCCAAAAGCCATATGAAAGCTTGAGGTAATATATATTATCTGAAGGTTACTTGCATTGACCACATTATAAGGTAAATGTGATGCCTCTACAGTTCTAGATATATATATATATATATATATATATATATATATATATATATATATATATATATATATATATATATATATATATATATATATATATATATACATACATACATATATATATATATATATATATATATACATACATACATACACACACTGTATACAGAAAAGAATATCGTCTTATCTTTCTCATAGTAGAGAACTACATGGCTTACGGCACCATGCTCATATTTAAAGTGCTCTTGTTATAGCTGAATATATAGCTTTTATGGTGGATGAGAATGGTGAAAGCAGTGAATCTACAAATGCATGATATAACATATACAGGATTTTATTTACATAACTTCATATTTCAAGATAAAAATAAAGCAATCTATTACCACTAGTACGGTGCTTATATAACATATGAAAATGCAAATATAAGGAACAATATTTTACTATTAAATAATTAAGGAGTACAAAACTATCTTATGTTAAAGCTTCATGAAAACTTAGCATTAAAATAAAGCACAAAGAGCTGTGGTAACTAGTGCGCCAAGAGCTCTTAAACCCTTACACTCATAACAATGCTGAGAAGCATTTTTCAATTGTTAGATATGTTTGGCTAACAATATTTATGAATTCTTGAAACCCACAAGAATGACTCAACAGTTATAACCACCCCTCGTGGTTATAACGTGAGGGGCCTCGTAGCCTGGTGGATAGCACGCAGGACTCGTAATTCTGTGGCGCGGGTTCGATTCCCGCACGAGGCAGAAACAAATGGGCAAAGTTTCTTTCACCCTGAATGCCCCTGTTACCTAGCAGTAAAATAGGTACCTGGGTGTTAGTCAGCTGTCACGGGCTGCTTCCTGGGGGTGGAGGCCTGGTCGAGGACCGGGCCGCGGGGACACTAAAGCCCCGAAATCATCTCAAGATAACCCCTAAACAAGTGTATACAGGAAAAAGACACTACAGTACAGTACTTAGTATTAAGTCGGCAATCTAAGGATTATAATGTACTTGGAATCTTTAGGATTACAAAGAAGTATTGTACAACCCATTTTTGTATTTCTTAGTTTCTCTTAAACAATTTACCGCTAAAAAATTGTAAAATTTTTCATCTTACCACAAAGATCACTTTTTTTTATCTTCTTATAAAAAACACAAGTTGAGTACATGTGAGTTTCATTTTCTTCTCCAAAATAAAGCTATTGAGTAAATAGATATGAAATTATTTGTGTTCTGGGGAGAACATATAATGACTACATCTTGAGATCTTGAGATGATTTCGGGGCTTTTAGTAGCCCCGCAGCCCGGCTCTCGACCAGGCCTACATAGTCACAGATGGTGACTATGTAGCACCATCTGTGGCATAACACTCAAATGGTCCTAAATATAGCAAGCCAATATGAACATGGCTCTCGAGCTTAACTTTATATTCTGCCAATTATGTGCAACTGCAGACAATATAAAATAAATTGTGCAAAATAAATATATATTATATATATACCATTTCAAGTGTACATCTTTTCTTATATAATTAACAAAAGATTTGCTATGTATCAAATAATTTAATATAATTAATTTATAACTACTGTATCTGCTTCCCATTAATATCATTGGCCAAAGTTATATTTGAGTTGAAAAAATAAACCAATCTTCATTTTAAGAATGAAGATAAAATGAATTTATTTCATTTGAATTCATTTCATATAAAATTAGGACAAGAATTCTTTAGGAAAAGTGCAAATACTGCGTTGTAATCCTATTAAATTCCATTACTGTAAATTTAAAATGTAATTCCTAAATGAATTTGTTATGGTTTACCATTGTCGGGGCCTATTAAGCTTATCGAGGTCCCCCTAGGTTAATGACTGACATTTTCCAGGATACAACTCACAACAGTTGCCTAGCTCCCAGGTACATATTTACTGATAGGCAGACAGAGGTAAGATATCAATTTAAAAAACATGCCCAACGTTCCTTCTAACCTGCAGGAACTGTCGGTAGTAATCTGTGCTGACCACTGTGCTAATTTAAACCAGGTGTTTGTGTGTACAATAATGCTCAAAGTTACAGTTGCAAAATCATTGAAAGACATCTTAATATTGGTTTGACAGCAATAAATTAGAACAGTTTTGAATTGCCATTCACAAATTACAGGATGTCTAATGGTTTTCAAAACAAACATAAGTACTGTATCTTCATTTAACAAAGGATGTAAAACTGTTTTTGTCAAGTTATGAACTAAGCAGTTATAAAACATGAGATCATATCAAAGTACACATGTGTCTTCTTTGAAACAGTACTAGACAAAAGAGAAGAAGGTACGACAAAGTACTTCATTACACGCACAGAAATCACACTAAAGTGATGTATTAATGAGAAAATCCGTCGGAGCCGTGATGAGGATTCGAACCTATTAGCCAAGTATTCCCAGGCATACGCCCCAGGCAATTAGGCCACAACATGGTCAAAAGGACTACAACCTGGGGTTGTACTGAGCCCACGAAGATTCCCGAGGCTTCCACTGAAGCCGAACCAGGATTTCACACAATCCCCCCATTCACTCTGGCTCTCTGTTGTTTGGAGGAATTGTGCGAAACCCTGGGTCAGGTTCAGTAGAAGCCTCAGGATTACGTGTGGGCTGAGTAGAACTCCAGGTTGCAATCATTTTGACCATGTTGTGACCTAGTTGCTTGTTTGGGGCATGTGCCTGGGACTCAGCGCATAGGTATGAATCCTCATCACAGCTCCTACGGATTTTCTCAAAGTACTTCTTGTTAAGGAAGAATCTTGTATTAAAATACAGTGAAAAACCTGCCTGAATGGAACCCAGTTCAATGAAAGGACTCTAAATTGGCCATAAAGCCTGAAATACCAATTTCAATGGAAAGAATTGAAAGGTTCCAGTCAAGTTAATTTACACACTAATCACTTGATGGCATATGGTGCCAAATTTGTTAAAATTACTGAAACAATTAATTTCCAAATAATTTGGTATTAAAATGAACAAAGATGTTTTATTGTATGCAGTGATAAAAACCATAATATAAAACCCCCTCTCTTATATGTTTGTGGATTTTATGTGAAGATTTACACCAGGTCTTTTGCACTCTCCTGACTGCTTTGTCAAGGTCTGAGTACTGTATGTGGTAAGCACGAGACTTGCATCTCAACAACTAATCAGTGATTAGTTGTCGAGATGCAAGTCTCGTCCTAACCACATACTCAGAACTTGACAAAGCACTCAGGAGAGTGCGAAAGACTATGTAAATCTTTACATACAGATTGTTGTTTACATACAAATCTTTACATACAGTCTGTTGATGTAACAAGATAATCATTGTAAACACACTGCAATGTGTTTGCAATGATTAGTATACTACTTATCTTTTAGAGTTGTGCCAGGTCTAAACTTACCTGGGTTAGCTGTCCTGAGAACACTTTCCATATGTAAAGTTACTGTAAACAAATTGATATTATAATTTAAGTTATCCTTAAATCAATGTGATTATAGAAGTTAGCCTTTACAATGCTTCATGTCCTTGTGTTACTGAAGCTACCTGCAGGTACACAAAGCTCCTAAACTCTGAAGACTTGAAAAGGCCAACCTTAATGTGCTTGTATTTACTAATTGTTGTTCAGCAATAAGTGAAATCTTCACTACAGTACTTTCTAGGAAACAATATCATTATACATCAATATCACACTTTCATTTTATGCTGTTTCTACTGTATTGGAAAAATAAACTAAACAAAATTTTGTTTCCATTACAGTAGTACAATAAAATTTACAGGATTACTGCATTAAATTTTATCTAAATTGTAATTTTAAACTAACATTTGTGAATAGAGAAGAAATTATTTTACAGACACAGTATACAATTGTTAAAAGTGTACATTTCTTAATGTAAATTGCCATTACATACTTGGTTACCAATACCAATGTAATTAATAATCGACTTTCCCCATAAATAACAGTGCTATATAAGCTGAACCGAAGTTCAAAAGACTCCTGTACTTTAACCTTTGGGGCTAAATTACTAGTATTAGGGCTTAATTAAAGCTTTGCAAACCATAAGAGACACACTTGCTGAAACATACAGAGGTTACAGGTGTGTTGCACCCAAACTGCTCACTCCTGGCACACTGCCATCAACTGGTTACTCAAACTATATCATGTCTCAATCTTGGAATAATACACAAGTTTGACAGTGTACAAGGTTCATCATTAGTAAAGCAAAATGGATGCTAATGATACAGAATTTACTTTATATTTCTAGGACTAAGAGTAATTCTCAAAAGAATATGGCAAGCCTGGAAGACTTAGCACCATCTGTGGTGCAGAATGCTTAGTAAGTCCTAATTATAATTCAAGATGTTAATACAAGAGCAAATATTTATAGGACTAGTCAAACTTTAAAATTACTTAATGACTACTTGATGTGTAAGATTTCTGTAACCAATTACTATAACTGTACTACAGTATACAAATTTATTTGATTTGAAATTGGAATGAAATCAATTGTAGAGTTATTAAAATTTACAGTTAAGCTTCAATTAATACTTAAGGTGTTTGTAATTTTGTTCTTAATGATAAAACAAAAATGATATTTGTATCAAGAATACTTCCACACAAAAATACAATTTTCCATGTTTTGTGCTGTATTGCCACATTACTCTGAGGTTTTTGCTCAAACTTAATCAAATAACACAACCTGCATGCAAGAAATTAAATGAAAGTGATGACATTTTGGTCCGTCATGGACTCCAAGAAGTCCCAAGAATAAACTGAAATGTCGGCAATCATTTTATATTTTAGGGTTGGATTATTGGGCTATTTGTTTCTGCCACATTATTGCTACATTCTCTAATAATTCTCCCAATATCATTGAAATAGCAAATGGGAGACATCTCTGGGTCAGTTACATGTTTTACACACTAAATTCATGGGTACTTAATGGAATAGAGCTTCATTTTGCCTCAGGCCGGGCTCGGGGAGTAGAAGAACTTCAGAGATCTTCATATACAGTATGCTTGCTCTCCAAACTGCATTTATTGTTTAGTCACTTGACTCCTGGTGATTTTTCTCTATTGTAAGGATGATTGGAATTTTGCTTTCATGTAGTCGTTACACACCACTTGTGCCCCCTTGATAAAATCATTGCTGAATGTGACTCCTTTGACACTAACCATCTTATGTCTTTCTGCTCTTCTATTAACATCCTAAATGGATGCCTAGGAACTATTGAATATTCTGTACCAGCAGTGTTATACTGTATAGCTATAGTGGCTTAGCACTTCTTTATAATTACATGACACATCTCAATATTGATAAATGTTATTACTGCTATTTCCTTGAATCAATTTAACATTACCACTCGCAGTACCAGTAGGCTTTAAATGTAGCAGTGCTACATTTTCCCTATGATGCTACTGGACCATTATATGAAAATATTCTGGTATATTAGAAAAAGAGATACTATATAGTTCGGTAATACATGTACCATATATAAAATCTGATGACAATACCATACAGTACTGATGAAATATATTCATTAAAGAAGCAGGTAGAATGGAAGAGTTTGAATGTTTTTTGCAAAAATTATAATGGATGGGAAACATCTTGAGTGCATTATGGCATGCTTGGTCCCACCATGCCATTGTATATTGGGTAGTGTCTCATGGTCTTTGGTAGGTTTGGGGCCTTCCCCCTCACTATCTCGATGACTTGGTCATCCATCTACTGCTATACTCCTCTATGTGATTTGTGATTTGTAGAACAAGGGTGTGCCCACTAACCCCTATCCTTACTGAAGGTGCCCTGTTTTTCTTTTCCAGTTGCAAGTGGTTTCCAATGAACCTTGCTCCACTCTAGACTGTATTCCAATTGGTACATTCCTTGTCCCACATTCCAGGTTTGCTAGTCGCTTTCAAGTGGCTCTTGATTTGTTTCAATGGAACTTCTGAGATGCCTATTGTCACATTTACCTCCACTTGAAGTCCAGGGATTGACTAAGGTTCAGACTGGGGCACCTCTCATACCACTTTTTGCCTCTGCTGTTGTGTCTGTACCTGACACTTAAAATCTTCATAAAACAAATTTCAGTAGTCCTACACCTTTATCTGCTGGGAATCAAAGTTCCAGAACACCTTGATGACTGGCAGGTTTGGGCCACCCCTAGTTGGTCTGCTTGCCTGCTGGTCAAAGGATTGGGTTCTTTCAAAGTTGGCTTACTGACTTCCAGGTTAAATGGTGGATATTTCATGATGTCTTCTCGGGTTTTAACTTGTTGGGATGCCAAAATGGCCTTCTAAACTGCCACAATTATCTCTATTGTGGCTGTGCCTTCATTGCCAACTGGTGCTTGCTAGATCTCTACTTTCACATCAGGACCTTGAGCATCTGTTTAGCCTTGGGCAGGCTAAACTTCACCTGCATAGTTTACCCTCTGGCCATGTCTGGGTGAAGGCACTGTACTGTATTTTCCTGTGTGTGTCCTCTTATTGTGTGGTTAGGACTGTGGTGCATGTCATTTTCATCTGGCTCTTTGGGGTCGAGTTCCATGACGCACACTCCTCCAAAACATGGATGCACTGGACCTCGGGCAGGGGTTTATCTCCAGGTGTCACCATGCCATTTAGGGATTAAACCAGGAGGCCTGGTCAACGACTGGGCCGCGGGGTCGCTAAGCCCCGAAATCACCTCAAGGTAAGAGATGGAAGGCTCCTTGCCTGTAATTGGTGCATAATGCAGTACTGGAGCTTATGGCAGTCTGAATGGCATGTTTCTTGTCTCATGCAAGGCTTAGCTCTCCACCTTCATTTGAACTGAGCCCGATTTGGTCCATTGCTTTAATTAGGGAGTTCGGTTCATTCCCTCTCTTTGTAAGGTTGAACTCTTATGCAGGTTTCCTGAACTGCCAGGTACCAAGTTGTTCCTAGGTGAAAAAGAGGCATATGCCAAGAAATTTGCCCGTGTCTCATCCTTTCTGGGAGCTGAACTTGGTTCCAGTTCTAATATGCAGTTTTCAAAACCTGTTTATACAATTGTCTAAAACAACATCTAGTGTCTATTTCTTTCATATTTCCCTTCAGAAAGTATCACTTCATAAAAATATACTGCATGACCACAACCATTGCATTTTTAAGAAAATAGTGTTACCGTGCCTTCGACTTCCAACTCTGGTAGCAATGGTTAAACTGAAGATGTCTTGCCCTCATATTTCTTTCAAAATTATTATATTTTTGCATAAATATCAGGATTAAAAATATTATTGATTGTGGATGGTGCATGTACATGTTTATCTTTCAAATTTTGTTTTGATAGTGCATATGCAAACCTCTTTATGGTGTCAGGAACACATTTTGTTTAGACTGTCCCGAGCAGCTTCAGTCTTCAATCTCGTAAAATATATGGCACTAGTTTCATCACTAGTCATAAAAAACAATTTCTCAGTTATAAACAAATTAGTATATTGGGCATAATATTCACAACAGGTTTCTCTTGCATAAAATAAATCAGACCTTAAGAAATATACTTATTATTAATATAAAAATGATATATGAACACCAAATCTGCTCTTGACAGGTGTATGGCACTATGGTTGCTGCCCCATTAAGACCAGGATAATGTATTTATAACTTGGTCACTTGCATGCAACCGAGTACTCTGCAGTACTTGCCTGACTATTTGTGGACTAGAAATGAATAGTGTAGGTTGGGGCATGCCTACCTTAGAGTGTTGAAGAAATGTGTGTTATTGGAAACACTAAACTGGTGTGGTGGTTTCTGGTGTGTCATCTGATAAGGGATCCATACTGAGTGATGGGGTTGGAACTTCTCCTGTATAAAGGAAGTATTTTCCAGATTTTTGTGTTCTTGGGTCCCAACGCCAGGGAACACCACCACCTCGCCACACTCTTCTCCCTATTACATAGAGAGTAACAACTAGGGCAAGCCCTGGCAATGTAAACAAGAGTGTTAGCAAAGGTCCCGTTCCTATACCTTGATCTCTATATGGTGTGAAGGTAATTATCGGCGTGCAGATGGAGAAGTCATGATGAAGTACCATGGAAATATTTTCTGCAGCTTTCAAATGATGCTCTAAATGGGTAAAGTCATGTGTTGTTCCAGGAACATCAGGATTAGCACAAGCCACATAATGTCCCTCAGCCAATGCTAGAAACTCGTGCCTTGCTTCCGAACAATTGAGCTGTCTTGTTGCAGCAATTGTATGCCCTGCAACAATAGCAAGTGTATAAGTGCATGGTGCATCATCTCCATCCACACGTGTGTGCACTACCAGTGCTCCACCAACTCCTCCAGCAGTAAGACTTGTCACATGGGGCAAGTGAGTAGCTGCATTGTGTTTAGGTAAACTGTAAGGGGCAGCAGTCAGTAAGAGTGGTTCAGAGCAACCTGGCAGGAAAGCTTCTTGGTCGCCTGTACCGCGTTCCAGCAACACAAGACAATATCGATACGTAGCACCTGGGATCAGTGCTTTCCCAGGCACTGTTACTATCACTTGATGAGGATCATGTACTCCATCTGATGTACAGTTAGCAGTTACGTTCCATGCCAGCACTTGATGTGTATTCGGTGTTCCCTGTACCACCTCGTATACAAACACGGTTTCACATGAATAAGGTATTGCTCTGTCATCTACTCTCCATACAAGTTCAACTCCTAAATATGCTTCCTTATCTAATGCTTCACCATTATTTTTTGTTGAATCATCTTTATGTACCCAGTGTGCTACCTGTAAGCTGATCTCTGCATCCGAAAGTTTAATTTCTGGGGTAACTTCAGCTGTTGCATCATCGTGGTAGTAATCATGATCGTAGTATGAAGTCTCTTCAGCGCACACCAGCTGGAACTTTCTCAGTTCAACCTGTGAAAATAATTGTTTGAGTTTTTTTTTGAGAACTTAGTGCATCTTAAATTTAATGTCTCATAACAGACTTTGTATTTTTAAAATGTGACTTTATTGCAGACTAGTACTTTTATTTTAAAGAAACACACTCCGATGTTCTCTTATACTGCATATGAACAATATTAAACCAGCTAACATAAATGGGATTAATCATTATATACAGGAATAGGCTCATAGCCTAATGACAATTCATATTAGAAACAAGCACACATGATATTTAAACATTGCATGTAACTGAGCAACATCTGCCTGCCTAAGCATGCTCAAGTTAAATATTACTACCAACTTATTTTTAATCAACATTGATGAGTTAACATCCCCTGCTAGGGGTACATCAACAGAAGATAAGTAGTTTCCAAGCTTACAAGAGGTGCATTTTCGAGTGGTGGGGGTGTGGCGCAGACAGAGCTGACCTTCTCCTCGTGTGTCAAGGATGGATGGTGGGTCAGCCACTGGACCAGCCACTCCAGTGAACAGTCACAGTGAAGAGGATTATCTGAAAATATTTTTAATGATAGAAACTTTCCAATATACTGCACATTATATTCCTTAATTCTTAAATATGAGAGATAAGGGCAAGGTGAGTGTACATGTATAAATGTATGTGTAAGAGGCCACATGCATTCTTATGTGTGTGTAACTTTAGAAAGCATCTTTAAATGACATATTTATTCTTATTAGCGACAAAATCAGTCTACCTAAGAGCATGTCATGTCTATATTTTCACTACAACATTAACATTGTGATAAGCATATTAGGCTTATGACTACCGATATAATTTATGCCTTAACTAGTGCCATTCTCCATCACATTTTTTGATCTGCAGTTCTTATTGGCTTAATGAAATCTGAGAACCTTAGTACTTATTAATAAATAACTGCTTTCTTAATCAAGTCATTAAAAACATATCCCGTGGTCTTAAAATGAAGATACCATAATCTAATTCATTCTCCCAATGAATGTAATGTATTTGAAGGGCATTATCTTTCATTTCACATTCACTCCAAAAAATCTACCACATACGGGCTATTCATGCCCATGCCACCTTATGGGTTGCTTAATATCCACCAATCAATCAAATCTTTTGTTTTTAAACATTTACGTCAGACGAAAATCTAAATTTCTTTAGGAAATACAAGCATTTAAAAATATATTCAAGTATTGCATTACAATTCCTGCAACAGTTTGATGCAAGGGAGCCTGTCTTGTAAGTCACTAAATGTGAGTGTGTACCATCAACTTCCAGGCTGGCAACAACATTGTTGCCAGCCTGGAAGTTGATGGTACACACTCACATCTAGTGACTTACAAGACAGGCTCCCTTGCATCAAACTGTTGCAGGAATTGTAATGCAATACTTGAATATATTTTTAAATGCTTGTATTTCCCACTTAATAATACTCTAAGCATCTACTGTTATTGTATGGGATATATTTAATTAGCTCTTATTTGATATATAAGTGTTACTGAAGTGCCAACCTGTGAGGATAAGATGCTGCAGTGCGGGTGTAGAGTTGAATACGTGAGGCTGTATGAGGGAAATATCATTGGCTGCCAGGTCCAGGGACTTGAGAGCTGGCAGCTGGTGCAACAAGTCAGCAGTCACTGCCCGGAGAGCATTATCGGCCATGGCCAGATATGTCAGCTGGGGCAAGTGAGCCAGCGACCAGCCCGACACAGCTACTACTCGATTGTGCGACAGTTTGAGGTGTTGTAATTTACTGAGGTTTACAAAAGCATGGTCCTCAATGACATCAATACTATTGTGTGATAGATCCAGTTCTTGAATGTTGGGGCACGCAGCTAGTGAACCTCTAGATAACATTGTCAATGCATTGTCTGACAAATCCAGAGAGGTAAGACCCTTTGCTCCTTTGATTAGTGAGGATGTCACTGCACCCTTCAGCAAGTTGGACTTCAAGGACAGGCGCTGAAGAGCATGTAGGCCACGTAGTGATTTTTCGTTCATCTGTGCTGCATCCAGTTGATTATGTGCCAAGTTCAGGGATACTAGATGAGGAAGGTGGACGAAAACCTCTGGGTGGAGAAGACGAAGGCCATTACCAGCAAGATCCAAGTTTTGGAGCTGTAGAAGGGTTGGGAATGCCCGAGGTGGGAGTTCGTGTATTTGGTTGTCACTTAAATCAAGACGCTGCAGCTCTGACAAGTGTCTTAGAGCATCAGCGGGAACTGATATCAGTTTATTGTTTGGAAGACCAAGAGCTGCCAAAGTTTTCTCTAAGCCAGAAAATGCATTAGAGGGTAAAGTCTGTAGGCCCGCTGTTGTAATCACTAGGCCCAACAACTCCATGTTGGTAAAGACATGCCCAGGAAGCTCTCCAAGTCCATGTATTGCTAGATCGAGCAGGGACACATTGCCCTTGGAACCGAGATTCTGTATGAGCAAGGTAAGATCCTGTGGGTGCCGTGCTTGGCCCCTGCATCGAACCGTGTGGGGAACATCACAGGTGCACGATATCTCTGCTATGCCACTGATGTAGGGACACATCCATTCTCCTGTTTCCCGATGTTCCAGCCTTGTCATGTTGGTCAGAAAGACAGGAGACATTGTAAGAGAGATGCGCGCTGCTGCCGCTGGATGCCCAGTAGTGGGAACGGAGGACGGAGGCATGGCAGTAGATGGAGTGTTATGGAAGGACGCCGGAGGCATGGCTGCAATACTGGGATTCCAGGTGGTGACAGCGACGACGGCCAACAGCTGCATTAACCCCGCCATGGAAGCCATCCTGTGGACAAATTCAAAATTAGCATTTACAAAGTTGATTTTACTAGATTGTTTACCTAACAATCTGTGAACTTTAGGGATACATGATTCATAAACCATACTTATAACAAATGGGAATAATAATTTAATTTGTCGCTGTTCATCACGAAACATCTAAACAAAAATCGGTCACTAACAAGAATTTATTAAGCTCCGTCTTCGCTATAGTGGGGCATGAGAATGTGAAAACAAATAAATTTAGATATGACACAACATAACTTTACATATTCCCTAAGATCAATACATTTGTCTATTTGGGATATTGTATGTATTGGGATAACAGAATGAAGATGTTTTATACACGGACTTCGCAAAAACATTTGATAATTGTAACCACGGAGTGATAGCCCACAAAATGAGGTCAGTAGGAATAATAAGTAAAGTAGAACGATGGATATTCAAATTTCTGTCAAACAGAACGCAAAGAGTAACAGTTAATCAAATCAAATCGAGTTCAAGAACAATGAAAAGCTCTGTACTACAGGGCACAGTCCTTGCATCACTGCTTTTCCTTATTCTCATATGAGATATAGACAAAAATAAAACGATAAATAGACGATAGAACACCTAAACTATTGGGATCGTCTCAAAGCTCTCAAAATGTATTCTTTAGCAAAGGGTCGATCACTGGTTGGGCAGTGATGTGGTGGCGGCAGACTCCATACACAGTTTCAAATGAAGATATGATAGAGCCGAACAGGCTCCAGCATCTGTACATCAGTTGATTGGCAGTCGAGAGGCGGGACAAAAGAGCCAAAGATCAACCCCCGCAAGCACCACTAGGTGAGTACAAACTCACAGTGACGATGAAGCGGAACACTTTGATCCCGCCACAATAGGGACATTCGCTTCACTGACGGATCATATGGAGGCCGAGGCCCAGCCACACCTGACCACACTACCATCTCTGCAACCATCCACACTATATCACCACTTACATCTGGCATCTACCGGTCACATCCACCACCATTTGTGCACATGTAAACTAAGCCTAGTTACCACCAGAATGTTTGTGTGTAATTACCTAAGTGTAGTTACAGAATGAGAGCTACCTTCGTGGTGTCCTGTCTTCCCAGAACTCTTTATTGTATAACGCTTTGAAACTGTGTGTGTGTGTGTATTTAGTATTTGTGTATGTAGAATCGAGCTATTAGCTCTTGGACCTCGCCTTTCTAACCCATCTATTTTTCCTTTATTCTTTATATTATATATATTTCTTTTTAACACACACACACAATTCCAGTAGATTGACGGGCGAGCAGAGTGAGTGTATTCACCTATTTGTGCTTGCGGGGGTTGAGCTTTACTCTTTCGGCCCGCCTCTCAACTGTCAATCAATTATTACTAACTAACAATTTTTTTCCACACACACATACACCCAGGAAGCAGCTCCGTAACAGCTGTCTAACACCCAGGTACCTATTTACTGCTAGATAACAAGAGCCCATCAGGGTGAAAGAAACTTTGCCCATTTGTTTCTACCTGGTCCGGGAAGGTGTGGCGAACAGAGCGTGTGTGTGGCGAGCACCGGTGGCACCAGACACGTCCATGTCGCCAGCGGGCCGGCGAGCACCTTGCGTCAAACACGCGTCCTCGCCACAAGCAAAACAACGACAACTCGCGGCCGTCTGAGGCGCCATATCCATCAAACCTTCCCCGCTGATAGTTCACCCACACCTCAGTGCCACGACAAATACCACCTACGAACTCATTTCATCCCATTACAACAAATAATAACCATCTAGACCATCAATAATGGGACGAATTTGTCAACTAGAGAATGGATCTTGTCAAATAATGGACTAGTAGAGATTGAATACAATCGTGACGAAATATGAGTGTTGATACAGGCAGACAAAATGCACTCTTATAATCCCCCACAGGCTGACGGATCCGTGTTGCAAGTGTCAGCGTGGCTGGCAGAGGCTGACAAACGAGAGGGGCTGCATGGCCGGTCACCCTCACGCTATCCGGACTATCAAAACATCCCCCAACCGACGGAGTATGTTTACAGCACATCCGGATACATCCTCTAGCTGCTTACTGAGTTTTTGTCTTTTGCATTTCAGAAGTACAGTGAGTCAGTAAGATATTGAGTCTTAATTTGTCTACCTTCAGTACAGATCCCCACCTCCTCCCTGTCTGTACTGAAGGTGGGTGGCCTGTACCCAACTCCTTGTTGGGTACAGGGTCCTGCCAGGCACGGTAGTAGATGGGTTACTTCTCGACTCTCAATCTGAAATCCCGGGTTCGAGTCCCGGGCGGGACAGAAATGGTTTGGGCAAGTTTCTTGTCACTTAATGCATCTGTTCACCTAGCAGTAAATATGTACCCGGGAGTTAGACAGCTGTTGTAGGGTTGCATCCGGGAGGGTCAGTAGTTCCACCCTGGGGAACCTTAATACAAGCCTCACATATATACACCGGCTGCCTGTCCCCGAAAAAAATGATGTTTAACTCAGTTTAGCTACAGTGTGGGCGAACACAGTTTTCTATGTAGTAGTAGTATGAGGGTCAGACAAATTGATGTTTGCTCCAAGTATCTTAACCAAATACCCTAAGTTTGCTTACTGTAGATGGTACATGTACTGTAGATGGTAGAGGCACATGATTGTAAACCTTCCACCACCGCCCACTGGGTGGATGTCGGGCGAATGATTGATAAATATGTAACTGGCTCACCACAGATGCAAACTGCTCGGCTTGCCAGGCTTTTGGGGTCCGCTTCTTGAACCAATTGTGTAACAAAAACAAAAGACTGTTGTAATTAAACATTAAACTGTGCAATTACCTTATCAAGACTGTTACTTGCTTAGCTAAATTAATATTGGTGTTCAGTTCCTGAGAACATTATGTGCCTCTGTAACCTTCACTACCGCCCACGGGATGGGTATGGGGTCCACTACTGCCCACGGGATGGCTATGGGGTCCACTACTTCCCACGGGATGGGTATGGGGTCCACTACTGCCCACGGGATGGCTATGGGGTCCACTACTTCCCACGGGATGGCTATGGGGGTCCACTACTGCCCACGGGATGGCTATGGGGGTCCACTACTGCCCACGGGATGGCTATGGGGGTCCACTGCTGCCCACGGGATGGCTATGGGAGTCCACGACTGCCCACGGGATGGCTATGGGTCCACTACTGCCCACGGGATGGCTATGGGGGTCCACTACTGCCCACGGGATGTCTATGGGGTCCACTACTGCCCACGGGATGGCTATGGGGGTCCACTACTGCCCACGGGATGTCTATGGGGTCCACTACTGCCCACGGGATGGCTATGGGGGTCCACTAGCATAGAAGTAATTATCAAAATAAGGCACCAAGCCAGGAAGGCTATGTAGCATCCCCACTAACATAAAACATGATGCTTCATTTAATAATAAATACAACATGATACTTTATGTAAAAAAAAAAGTACATTCAAGTTTTATCAATATAAATTATAGGCTTGCATTCGGGTATGTTGCATTTTCTCTTCAATGGCGGGAAGTTTGAGAGGTATGGGTCTGTAATGTTCAGTGTTCTGATTGTTCCTCTGATCCACTGTCTGGGGCAGGGAGCCAGTTAGGCTTAATAAAGTTCCCCTCCACCGTAGGTCAACAACTGACATTCCTCAGAATACAACCCACAACAGTTGTCTCCCTCCCAGCTAGAAGCGAGCCCAAATGTCTCGTCGTAGCCCACGAGTTGATCTCTGCACCAATCGGCTGTGAGCCAACTAGTAAGTTAGGATAGTATAAGACAGATGAGGATCGTTAAAAACAAAAGAGCAGCGATGAGGTAGAGTGACATAACTGGACCCTGCTTGAACCCTACTCGTTTAAGTCCTTAATACCATCTCTGCCCTATGTTGCCTGGCCTCGCTATGATAGCTTAACAACCCCCCTCGTCAAATGCGGCCATATAATGACTTCATTCTGGAGAACGATGATTGAGTCATGACTACAGCGCCGGGTGTCCTAACTGCCGACTCCCTCTGCGTACTAATTGCTGCAGTGTTTCCTTTACTGGAGCCTCTCTGAGTGGCGATTTGCACATAAATACAGTCATCTTGTGTTGCCTCGGGCTCCGTCTTGACGACTCGCGCAGGTGCGCCAGCTGGGGGAGGGGGTACTGTGCGCAAGTGATAGAGGGAGACAGACAGTCAGACAGACAGAAAGAGACAGACAGGATAGTGTGCAGCTCGGTGGTGTGGGGGAGGAGAGAGGTGGATGCTTAACTATTAACTAAATACAACTTCTATGCCTCTCAAAAAATACAAACAGTATGTTCTGAAGTAAGAATGTTATACGTTCCATACTATGAACACAATATAACAATTTTGTTCTCCCAAAAGTGGTACATGGCGTATAGGATCCCTCACATCATTAGACCACTTGTTACGCAAGCCGTTCTCGGGAACGTTCCGTAACGTCAAGGAAACTCTTGTACCATGTTGTCCCTAACCTAACCTGCCAGAGGACCCACGAACAGAAAGCGGGACATTATGTCAACTCCGCGAGCCGCTACCATTATCTACTACATCGCGGCCTTCGGTAAACTCTACGTCAAAAGTGTGACGTGCTATAACGAGAAGAGGCTGCATTACAAGCGGGTGTTCAAAGACATGCGGGATCAAACACTATATCACCAATGAGATGTTAATGGCCCCGGGTTCGACTCCTCGTGAGGCTCAGGAGTGGCCTAGTGCCGTCACCATGATAATATCTTTACCTTTTGGTCTTGTGTAAATGTGACTGTCTTCATGACAGTCATGGAGACAGTCCATGTCTCCATGACATCTTTTCATGGAGATGAAATTCTCCATCATTTCATAGACGTTATACAACTACCTGCTGCATTAACGAGTAGGGTCCTAGACCTGAGAAAAATGGTCACCACTTACGTCATCGTTAAATAAACCCAACCCCTCCCATCCCAGCCAAATATATATATATAAAAGGTGTGATGTCA